TTCTCTCGTGAAGTCAGCTTGAACCAGTGTAACCACAAATTGTCATTGCCATTGATATTATTGTCGCGATTTAGCTGTCATTTCGAGAAGCAATCCGTCAAGGAGTGAAATGTACATAAAAGGAAAGAGATAGCCTTTGCGTAATTGTATAAGACACGGATGTTCGCTGTGTGAATGTAATTCCTTTAATAGGTACCCCTAGGAAGAGGGCGCTGCCTTCTTGGGCCTTAGGCACCACCAACACCGGAGTTCATTCCGTCCCAGGAGTTTGCAAAACAAAAGGCGGATAAGGTTTGTTGTATTTTAATTTAAGAGAAAAAAAAAATGTTCAATTTGTTTTCCTTCGAAAAAAACGAAATGAAGTTGCTATAACCAATTTTTGATAATACCGATAGCACGTTTAGCACTGCCATTATTTAAAATATTCCAAATAAGAAAAAAAAAAGAACATTCAGTGCATATACCAACGTACTTTTTCTGAGATCACTGCGAGAACGTGTTTCAGACGTGTACCAAACACACATGACACGTTAATGGCGTAAGACAGAACAGAAAAAATAAAATAAAAAATAGAGTTCAATTTCGAATGGGACACAAATAGGACGCACCGAAAGATTGAGAAAACAAACAAAATGTGATAATGACAAATTTGCACATTTTCATTATCACGTTCAACTTAAACAAAGGTGGCGGTGGTTCTTCCTTTTCGCGCAGTTGCCGTTAATGAGGGGGGTTCTGTTGCAGTTTGAAGCTATTTAAAGGTTATTTTTCTGCTTCTTTCGCCTTTTTTTCTATCTTTTTTTCGCCTTTTGTTGCGCCTTTTGTTGCGCCTTTTTTTCCCCTTTCACTGTTGTACATTGCGCCTCATGCAACACGGTGTTTCTTATTTTGCCGTGTCCATAGCCTTTGGCGTTTTTTCACCGTTCCCGCCCTACACATTCACGCGGCGCGATTTTATTTTATTTTTTCATTTTTTTACATTTTCTACATCACTACGTTTTTTTTTTACCTTTTTTCTTACCTGTTGGCGCTTCCAAGGGTCGCCGTCCGGATAAGTCTTGCCCACTGCAGTGCATCTCCACCTCCTGATTTTTGGAGCGCACATGAACGGTGACAGCATGTGTCTATTTCGCCACTGAGCAGATTTACACGTCAGTTTTATCCGTCTCCCTTTGTTGTCTCTGTTCCCTTCTCTGACTCCTACTGGTTTTCACTTTGGGCAAAGATGCAAACCGCCTTGGTATGTGCGCCTGGCAAAGCACGACTAAAAAAGTGGAAAAATAGTCATTTAAAAAATTGTATCCAAACGGACGGTAACACGCAAGCTCACACTTTTAGGGTTTGGCGCACCAACCGTTACACGGGGGCTGATTTGTTGACACTAAAGAAAAAAAAAATACCGTTTTTTTTTTTTTTTTCTTTTTTTTTTTTTCTCGACTTATTCTTCCCATTCTACACAACAGATGTGGGATTAACAGTCCATTTGATTCTTCTCATTGGCCACTCCTGATACGTTGGTGAAGGTGTTGGGCTCCTTTCCCCCCTCCTTTGATTCGCTCATTTGGTGATAATAATCTACCGTGTACTCATAAATTTGGTCTATGCTAAAAGAATTTGCGATCTCCGCATCTTTCCTGTTCCGGAAATTTTCATTTGTTGCTTCGCTTGCACTGGGATAGCTACTGGGTTCTCTCCATCCGTTCCGACTTTTTCCTACTCCCTTTTGATCATTACTTGTATTATCCATCCTAGTCGTTTCCTGCACATTTTCCGAGTCCTTCATTTCGTCTTTTAAAAAAAAAAAATGTCTCAACATATCTACGTTTTCTTCTCCTTTATCCACCTTCCGCTGGTCACCATCCCGAAGGAAAGTGGATTTATCACTGAGGAAAGAATCGTCAGCTTCTTTATCCTCACCGGTGTTGGCATAAAAATGGGGTACTCCATTTTGCCCCTTATCTTCGCTTTGCTCATTTTCACCTTTTTTTCGAACCAATTTTTGAAACATGGACACGAAGTCTCTGGATTCATTTGCATTGTTCATATCTCCGGTGGGGTAACTTTCCCTTCTCCTATCGTTTTGGCTAGCTTGCCCTTCCCAGTGGTTCTTTGTATTGTAATTACCATACGGGTCGCCACTGCTTCCAATAACTTCCGTTCCTTGCCTTTCTTCTACAAACATGAACCTGCTCCTTTTATACGTTGATGGTGGGCCATTCTGTAACGTGTCCCCATTCTCTGTGTGTGAAACTAATTCGATGGCTTTATCCGACCCATTTTCTACTTCCATAGGGGCCATCCTTTTCTCTTTTTCGTTTTCTTGTTCGTTGGCATCTGTTTTCACATCGCTATGGTTTAGGCCATCCTTTTCATTTTTCCGTTTTTGATTCCTTTTAAATAAATCCAACTTCATCAATTTTTTTTTTAAATACATTAGCTTCTGGTCGTTGAAGGGGTGGTACGCCTCCTCTGTGTTTGGTTTCTTCTCAGCAGGTTCCTCCGCTTCGGCAACGTGCGCCACTTCGATCACGTCTGCCGCTTCGACTACACCCACCTTACCACTTTCATCGTGGAATTGCATAAGACCGTCTCCTTTTTCGCATCTCAGAGTTTGACCTCCTGATGGATATTCATCACTACGTAGACCTGTGTGCTCATCTGTTGCAACGGCAGATCGGCTGTGTACACCATCTTCGTTGATCTGTGACTGAGGCTTCACGTTGTCCGTACCTTCACTACATTTATCAGTTTCCCACTTGACATTATGACTAAAGACGTTACTTAATTTCTTCTTCAGTTTAAGATGATAATAATTTGCTTCATTATAATTTCTCCTTTTCCTTCTTTTTGAAATTCTGCTTCCGCAGCTATCACTTGAGTTGTACCCTTTACTTCCGCCTCGGATTGTTTTCCCGCGATGTGTTCCATACGTTGTAACACTAGCGTCGTAAGAACAGGCGAATCTTTCAATTGGATATTCTCCCACGTTAATAGCACCTCCATTGTGGTATTTACTGACGTGTGTATAGTAGTTTGCGTCCTCATCTGCGTCACTACCTTCATCTGCACTGCTGAAGTTAATTTGTGGGTACAGTTCGTGACAGGTATTCTTACAAAAGGGGGTATCCCTATAGAGGTACTCTTCCTTCTTAAGGATGCCTTTTTTTTTGTGCATTTTTTTTTCATGCTGCGGAGGAAATAGGTGTTCTTCCACGGCAAGTGATCCTTTGGAGTTCCTCTGATAGCTCCACTGCTCATTTGGAATTATCCGCTTTGAGTCCACCGTTGAGAGTCCTCTTTGGCTATGCAACTGGCAACCAAGGTGCCGACCGATCTGATTACTGGTGTTGTTAATTTGGCTATTCATTTGGTTAAACATTTTGTTGCTTTTCTGCTGGTACAGGTGACTGTTCAGCTGATCATGTAAATTACTTACTTGCGTCTTTATGTTGCTTATTTGTCTTTGTATGTGGCTGTACAGGGGCGAATCGAAACTTTCCAGGGTTCTGTCCGTGGACAAATTCTTCACTATCTGGTCGTTTATATTCTTGACGTAGGAATCTATCTGTTTGTACATTTTGTTAATTTTTTTTATAAATAAAATGTCGATTTGACTGTTGACAATGTTTATGTCGTCGTTTAGATTATTGACACAGCTATCGCTCAGTTTGTTTTTCAAAATATTAATTTTTTTATTCAACACGTTTATTTTTCCGTTTTTCTTGTTGTTGATTATGTTCATTTTGTCCTTGACATTGTTTATTTCCACGTTGAGGTGGTGCATTTCTTTTTGCACAGTGTTGAATTCGTCGCGCCGATGGACACACTTCGCTTGTTTTCTCGATATGTCTTTGTACGGGCGGTATTCCCCTTGGTTATCCTCGCTCCAGCTGTTCTCATAGGGGCCTTTTTCAAGCCATCCTTTCTGGAACGCTCCTCGTTCGTACACCCCCCTTTCCTGCGACCCCCCTTGGTGGTATGATATGTACTCCCGCTCTTTCTCTTTTTTACGCTTTTCCACGACTTTTTCTCTTTGGAAGCTTGCCCCCTTTCTTACTTCCCCCGTTTGGTTCTTCAAACGCGGCATAAAGTTTCCCCTTCCGGGGTGGCTTTCCCATTTGGGGGTCTCCACTTCGAATTCAGAATAAATTTCATCATCCGTTTCGCTGCTAAAGTCACTACATTTTTCTGTGTAGATGAAAAACTCACCATTCGGTTTCGTGGAGGATTCCTCTGCGGGTTGCATCTCCTTTGCAGTTTCCTTCTTTTCATCATCAAGCTTGGCGCGGTTCTCCGATGGGATCGCAAGCTCATATTCGTCTTTTTTGTAGAGAGGTTCCTCACCCTCCCTATATTCATCCTCATGGCGGTAGTCGCCATGACCAGGTAGAATCCCCACGTCGTCTGTTACAGATGGGAAGTTTTCTCCTATATGGTTTGAGGTGACAGAAGCAATTGCCTGGGGGTGCACATGTGCACCAGGAGTAATATCTTCCGTTGTGTGCCCATGTGTATGAGGAAATGATGACCCCTCCAAAGGATAGGTATCCACTGTTGCATCATCCGTTTCCTTTTTGTGTTCCTCTTCCTTTAGCTCCTTGCTGCTGAAAATGTTTATTTCATTCTTAAGCTTATCAAAAATGAAGACATCTCTGGGGTCATTTTCGTTAGCACCTGGAAATTCATTCTCACTCGTATTCTGTTTTATCCTTTCCTGATTTTTTAATGCATTCGTTATTTTATCCTTTAAATACTGAAACCGTTTGTTTTTGTTCGTTTCGTTTTTTTTCTCTTTTGAGGCTGTGTTTAAAGACACCTTTTCCACTCCCTTGCCTGTGTAGATGTACATGTCCGTCACTTCGCTTTGATTACCCTCATTTTGATTCGCCGCCTCGTCAAACAGTTGTCCCTTCCCTAACAGGGTGAGGTATTCCACTCGGCTGCAGGGAGGAGGAGGTGGGGTCCACGGGAACAATAGGCGAATGGTGAGTACAGACAGATCGGCTACTTATTCGGCGTGGTGCAGGCGGAGGGAAGCGCCCAGGCGACGCCTTTTTTTTTTCTTCTTTTTTTTTTTTTTTGCGTTGAATTTTCAAAAAGGGGAACGCACTGTAGCGGCTAACCCCAACGTCTAACTGTATTTCGCATGTATAAGTGTGCACAAGGAAGCGCACCTTTTTTTCTTATTCCCAGGGGCGTTGGACTTGTTCTGTAAATTTTTTCAAAACGGAGAAATGGGTTGTAGTATGAGTACGAAGGTGGCATGGTGAGGAATCAAAAAAAAACATAAGAATGCAAAATCGGTTCGAACAAAAACGGAACGATTCATACGTTGTATATGGTCCAAGTATTGTTCTTGTAAACTACTGCGTTATCATTTTTCATTATTGGTGCTTTTGGAAGGATGGATCGGGGAAGGTAGTGTACGTATATTTTTTCTAATGAGTTAATGAACGAATACTTTTCCGGGGGAGGGAATATTTGCGCATGTCTCCATTTCAAATGTCTATATCTGCAAAGGGGAGAAGTATGTTGCTGCTATCGAGTCGGGTGTGTATTCAAATAGAAGGGGGGGGGCAATGGGCGTCTATGTAAGGAAATACACACACACACGTACGTATGCATGTACATACGTACATATATATATATTTATTACACACGGCGATAGGTGAACGCTTCAGGGGACCCCCTTTTTAATCGTGTACGCACGTGCGTTTATTTGTACTGGCATTGCACACCTTCCTTTTTCATGTCGACGTGGGACGCACTTATGCTGTTGTTATGAATCTGCAAAATGGGAAGGATAACGGATGGCATATTATCTCTATCATATGGTGAACACTGCAGCTGAGCAACAGACGAATATTTCTCTGCAAAGGACGCTGTGTTGTTTTAACAGAAAGGAGAGGTGATCCCCCTCTTTCGTTTTTCAGAAGGTGCGAAGGGATGTATTCAGGGAGATACATTCAAGGCAAAGAAACTCAGTAAGTATGTTCACAAAATGAGGAATGGAACAAGAGGGGTAAGAAAAAGGGAAAGAATATGATCGTCTACACATTCGTACACTTACGCCCCTACGCAAAACGGACATGGTTAATTTGGAAATGTGATGGCGGTAGCTGAACCTTTGGGGAATAAATGTTTACATTACATAGCTCTTGGCTGATTCTTAAAAAAAGAGAAAGGCATCTCGCGTTGGTTATTGCCTGGTACTAAATAGCTCTCATCACCGTTTCTAAAAAATTATACCCTTTTCTGTTTTCCTCCCTTATGGAGAAGATGGGACACACATGTGCACAGAAGCACTCAGGGGATGTCCTTTTTGCGGCCCCTGCTTCGTTCCCCGATTGTACCCTCGGATAAGCATAGGTAAATATATATATAACTATATATGTATAAATACGTATGTATACTGGGAAACACCCACACGCACCTGTATGTACGTAGTTAAACAAATCGCAGATTGCTCAGTTTTGATACGCCATTTTCTTTCATTGTTTTTATCTTTGCGTAGTTAGTAAGCATCGATTCGGGAATCCATGTGTCGCCTCCAACTTGATGGCATAGTTTGACACCCCTTGACGGACGCAACTTTTTTCTTTTTTTTATTCGAAGAAGTGTACAAATTGGCGTATCACAAATTGAAGGGAACTTCTGAAACAGTTCGTTTCATACACGTAAAATGAAATTTTCATTTTTTTTCCAAAAGAGTCGCGGTAAGTTGTGAACTGCAATTTTTTTTTTTTTTTCAATTCCTAAACTTTTGAACTGCAAATCGTTTGTTGAGCATCCTTTTCGCCGTTTGCCTGACCTGGGATAACGTAGTTGTATTCTTGCGCTCGGACGTATTTTTTTGGCCCGGCCCACAGAATATATGCAACCGTTTGAGAAAGGATTAACAAGATAGCAGTAAAATAGGAAGAATTAAATGAACGGATATATGAATATGTGAAAAACTCCGCTTTAGAGACTTCAAATTGCGATTTCCTCACTTCAATTCCGTTTTATTCGTTGCCTCTCACGTGGCTAAAGCGTTAGGGATACAAAGCTGGTGGTCATGTTGTTTAACTTTACGTCTGCGCATACGTCCCCTTCCGTGTGGAAAATTACTACATGCACTTTTCGTCGCAGTAACTAAGCCGTTTTAAATGCGAACATGGGGTGTTTCCACACACCTAAGGGCTCCACCTGGCGCAGTTGCATATAGGTTGTTAGTTATGCAGGCCGTTCGAGGCATCGTTCAGTGCTTACTCCCCCCATGGATGTCTTCCAAAGGGGTGCGAGTCCCTCGCACGCGAACTCCTGACACGTCATCAAAGCTGCGATTGTGGGATTGTGCTATTGTGCAGTTGCAGAGACAGAATTTATAAATTACTTCTCAAATACAACACTCTTTTTTGAACCATCAGGGAGACACACTTCCGGTTAAGCATGCCCCGATGCAAAGGAGAGGACTCCCCCTCCTTTTTTTTGGTCCAGAAAGGCCAAAGAGTGGGACAATGTTATGCCCAAGTTGGCATTGTACTCCATGTGTTTACTAAGAGGCGCGAATTGCGAGTGGTGAAATGCTAAAAGAACTGTATGTAACCTGAAGTAAAAACAAGAATGTGGAAAAAGGGTAACGGTATCCGTCTTTACCGTTTTTGCCAACCAATCCAGATAAAATGGGAGGGCTTTTCAATTTTGCAGCGAAGTTTGATGCTTAGTTGGCCTCAGGAAATGCACGTATGAGTGTATATATAGATATGCACATAGAAGTGTACTGGGGGGTTAAAATAACATGGAGTAGCAGGGCATCTGTGCGCTCTGTCACTCGCATGTCTTATGATAAAACACGTACAATCAACGTTAAGTATGCGTTTATTCGAATTTGCGCCCATCTGCTGCTACAACTATGTGTGTACTCCTGTGTGCCGTTTGATCTTCTGGCACTGGAAACCCCCATTTATGTCTCCGAGACTTTGACCAGTTCATTGGATCAACAGGTTGAGCTGATTAGCCAATTCAGTCGCCTTTTTTGGTCCCACAGTCGGTAGGTTAATACACGAAAGTTAAAAAAAAAAAGAATTGTCCTTTTTCCAAATTGCTAAAATCCACACGCTTTAACAGTAACCATGAATGTGTACTACCCTTTTTTCGTTTTCTATGATGACCTATTTTGATGCCATTTTCTCCTCCACCTGTCCTTTTAATTTTGCAAAAGTGTGGAGGGCGTGGGGGGATACCTGTCTACACGCATTTACCGTCACATATAAATAGGAAACAAGAGGAAAAAGAACGCGGAAGTGTGGAAATATTCTCCTTGTCAAATCGTCTCATTTTGGCCGAAACGTATTTGTAGAAGCAGAGGTGGGAAATTTGGTAAATTATGGCAAAATGTTAGCCGGTGCGAACTGAAAAAAAATGTGATTCATTCGTCGTTGTAGCAGCGTGTACGTCCGGTTGATAATTTTACTCTTTCCTGTGTTTTGTATTTTTTCGAATTTGTACACATTTGTTCTTTTAGTTTATATCTTCTTATATATGTTTATGTGTGTCTATGTCTGCTTATGTCTGTTTATGTTGGTCCATATCTGTTTATGTCTCTTTATGTCGGTTCATATCTGTTTTTTTTTTTATTTTATTTTATTTCTTTTCCAATTATTCACATTTTACACACGAAGTTAGCAACGCGGATAACAACACTGGTGGGTAATTCCCAATAATTCGTTCACCTTCTGTAACGGCATTTGGGCGAATTTCTTCCCTTTTAGGCAACCACCGTTGTGCAATTCGGCGTTCCTCATTTTGCGAAAATGCATCTGCGATTTTTAATGCACTCTTTTTGTTACCGTTCTGTGTGCGGTTCTGTACATGTTGGCGTACGCGGTGTGTGTGTAAGTATGAGGAGAGCTCGTGCGTCTCCCCTCATTTTAAAGATTTCCCCACACTCCTCCTCGGCATGTAGAATATTGTGGGCTGCCTCCAGCGTGGCATTTTTTAAAAGAAAAATTAAAAAGCGCGGTGCCGCGTGTTTGTGTATATTTGACGGCGACGTAGTACGTGGTCAGATTTACGTTCGTGGCGCAGAGCAGGTTGGCAGCACGGTGAACTTCTCAGTCGGTGATTTTGTCCTTTTACCATGGCCATTTGCCATTTCCCAATAACGGTGTGCAAAATTTTCCAAATGCGCAATTTTTCCATTCGATAAATGGAGCCTCCCTTCTCCGTAGGAATGTAAAGAATTTTTTAAAAATTTACACGTGGCGAATGGCCAGTGACCAAAACGTTTCCGCACATGTATATATACGCGTACAGACGTTTGTATTTTTCTTTTCCTTAGTATATGTGTACTTTTTTTCTTTTTTCCCGCCATAGTACGAGGATTATGCCTTTTTTTCCTTCCAGCTGTTTTGTTTACCATAAAGATTGCAAACGTGTGACTGTCTTTTGCTTCGATATATGAGTAAAAAAAAAAAAAAACCATATCAAATGGCGAAGTAAAATTTTTTCATATTGCTTCAACGTTTTAGAAGTTTTAGTATATTTTTCATCACCACTTTTTTTTCGCTTTGCATTTTTTCATTTTATTAGTACGAATTAATTGCAAGGACATGGAAAAAAAAGAAAAAAAATCGCAAAGAAAGGAAAAGAAATAAAAGAGGAATAGGAATTATATTTGCACAACGTAAATTTTTCACTTTTAGCAGTTTTGCCACTCCTACTGCTATAATATAACAGGATTTCTTCACTTTGCGTTTTAGAGCGCTTATCGGCGTTTATTTGTGCGTTCGTTGCGCCCCCATTTGTATTTATTTTGCGCCATTTCCCGTTTCCATAGCTCCCACAGGGCCATACTGCCCTCATTTTACCTTTTCACATGTCACACGGCAACTACGTATATGTTCGATTGCTTTGTGCCTACTTCATTTTCCCCTTTCGCGTAATTTTTGCCTTCTTTTGCCCTCATTTTATGCCCCAACTACATGCCTTTTTTTAATCCTTATTTTATGCCGAATATTTTGCCCCTTTACATTAATATTTTAAAAAAAAAAAAAATTGGAAAATTGGCACGATTTTTTTTTCCCATTCTGTAACTCCAGTTTTCTTTTCGCCGCATAAGCATAAAGTGGGAGAAAAAAAAGAAAAAAAAAGTGTAAAAATAACCAGTTGGAGATCCAATTAGGGAAACAAGGAGAAACATTTATCTAGGAGTAAGAGGATAAAATGGATTCAGGTATGAAGAAATAAATGCTACATTCGTCTGCACACCCGTGTGCCTATACCTCTACGTCTGTATCTGCTTATGTGATTTTTCATTTTTTTTTTCACACGGAGGGGGTCTTCTTGATGTACCCAATAATAATTGAGGGGGGGCAGTATTCAATAGGGATCTTTGAATAGGTTTTTCCTGTACAGAATTCCCCCCTGTGGTGTGATGATTATGCTTATACCGTCGCGCCGTTTTCGCTTCTGCGGCGAACCTCACCATTTTGCCTAGCGGCACACTGCAACGCATGAAAACGTGCTCACACCACTGCTTTCCTCCCCCCATTTTTGCCTAAATTGAAGAATACCAAGGTCTATTGAACAGCAAAGAAAGAGAAGATGAAACCAACGGGGCTCACATCGCCGAGAAGGTGGAAAAAGGAGGAGAAACCATTGAAAATACTTTGATGAAATTAAATGTGAGGTACCAAACGTTATTCTTTTCATCGGGAGTAATGACCGTTTTCTGTGGCATAATATCATTACTGGAATCGTTAAGATATTTTTACTTCACCAATTTTGTGGTCTCCACCTTTTTAATGTAAGTAACCGTACCGAGTCACTCTGGGTGTGTCGCATTGGAACAGTTTGAAGCGTAACCTTTTTGCGAGTGCACGGATTTTAGTGCCCCTTTGGGGAAAACACTTCATGTCTACATTCAACTCGCAATGTACTTTTCCCTATACCCCTCATTTGCATTTCTCCCTTTTACAGCACCATGGGGCTTATCATGATGATTTTGGACATTCCGGGAACGCCAAGATGGGCCGCAAAGCATAGGATTATGATAAGGAAGTACATAAAATTTTTAACGAGGTTGACGGGGAAGGCAGTTTGGTTCTTCTTTTTAGGTAAGACAGCGGTGAAAGAGGCGACAGAAGCGAAAGCGGCATAGGCACATAATTCTTAAGGGAGGATAGGGCACCCCGACATGCCTCTACCACAGTTGCATATTCTCTATTTTCACAGAGCATCCGCATTTGCTGAACTTTCAATATGAACACTACAAACGGGTTCGCTCATTGGCCACGAATGCCCCTTCCCCCCCCTGCAGGATCGATGTCGTGTTTGAACCTATGGCCGCACTCGAAAAAGGTTACCTTCTTTAGATCGTTCTGGGTCGTCCTATTCAGTAGCTTTATCCTTGGAGTTGCCGTAGTTGGCTTTTTAATAGCATTAAGAAAATCATTAAGATTGGAAAAATTAAAAAAGACGATCAAGCTGGTATCGAAAGGGGCCTACATTGATTGTTACAGAAAATATAGTGTAGCAGATCCAGACCACGGAATGCAATTTGAAGAATTCAATAGGATGTGTTCAGATCACACAAATGGATATATATATTTTGACTTCTTGGATTTATTTATCATTTTTAATGCCCTAGATGAGCATCAGAAATGTTCCATAAATGAACGAGAATTTTTGGAGTGGATAAATGGTCCCGTCACGTACTTATGAGGAAACCTAACTGTAACAGATGAGTTCGTTCCCTGCGTGTGTTTATCTCGGTGGAACATAATGGCGACCATGTCCCTTCCCCTCGCACCCCCATTATATGCGTGTGTTCCCCTCGGCATACATAATGCTCATACGCACACATCGGTTGAAAACAGAGAAATGCATACAGTTAAGTAAAGCGCGCACAGACCGTCATACGCGTATGAGAGGAAACCCCATTATATTCGTAAAAACTATTTTTTTGTATGCTGTTAAGTTTTTGTTTATTATTGTGAAATAATTTTTTATGAATTTCAATTTTTTTTTTTTTTTTCTTTGCACATTTTTATTCACCTGTTAACATAAAAACGAAAAAGAAAAGTTGTCAAAAGTTATATGCTTTTCTCTTTGAGCTCTCAGCTAAGTAGTTTCCTTTTGGATTTACACTTCGAAGGCGATCCATTGTTTCCTTCCCGCGTGTGACCGTTTGAATGATTTTATTTGGGGCCTTCCACGCGTTGCGACTTCGTAGCGGAGGCGAAAATATGGGAGTCGACACGCTCCACCAAAGTCCATGCGGTGAAACAAAGCGATGTTGATGCACGCAGACAAGGGAACAGAATAGCACTTTTCGTTTTTGAGGCCCCTTCCCATGATCTGTAAAATTAACAAGGGGTGTCCCCTTTGGCAGTAATAATCCGGTTTATCACGAAATGTTAATTTTTTCTTTTTTTTTACATGCTGCGAGTTGCCGCGAGGAGCGGCGGAACGGTCAATAAGTTTAAATGGAAAAAAAAAAATAAAATAATAAAGTAGCACACATGTGCATTCATACATGCGTACATAGATGGATATTCAAAACATCAAACGGTTTGCCTCCTTCCAAATGAGTTAACCTCCATTGGGTACGTAACAAATTTCACCCACGTGAAGTGCCGAATCGGCTATCCCTGGGTGGGACTTTCCATGCGTATGAAAGAAAAAAAAAAAACGCTCCTGATTGGTTACACACAAGATGGTTGACCAAGCTGGGGGGGGCAGAAACTTCGACCCGCTTCTTTACCTCTCCCTAACTAGGCCCCCCCTGTGGACTCCTTCGTGGCGTCGAAGTCAATGCTGTGGGATGAATTCACAATGATGTCCTTCTCGGGCAAAAATGGAATTTCATTATCCTCAATGATGAGGGCATTTTTCTTCAAGTCGATCTGGCACTGGTGTCTCCTCAACAAATCCAAGCCGAATATAAAATCAATGTCATAATCATCAATAATGGTTAACGAAACAGCGTAGAAATAGTTTCCAATTTTAATGTCCACCATGTGGATTTTCCCCAAAATGGATTTGGTACCAACTCCTTTAGCAATTCCTGTAAATCTCCTATCCATTAATCTCAAGATGTTGCATTTTTCTGCACACCCCTTGGACATGACACTTGACTGCGCTCCCGAATCGACAAAAGCATGCACAACGTTTTTATTTATTTCAACAGGAATGTATAACATATAAACAACCCCAAATGCTTCTGGGAAATGTTCCTGGGCTAATGCCAAGTTTGAGTTTATTTGATTTTTGTAAATATTTTCATAAATGTATTTTTGTGCATCTTCTGAGAGTGGATTTTTCAATGCATTTTCGTACATGCGTTGTTCTCTTTCTTTATCTTTTTTTTCATTTTCCAATTGTTCTTTTACAATTTTTTTTAGTTCTTCTACATTTTGGCTAGTTATAGCATCATACATTCTTCTGTCTTGTAATTGTAGGAGGGCCATCCTGGATCTGTCATTTTTTAAGTTTAGTAAAATTTCGATTTCTTTTTTTATGTATTCATTTTCTTGAAAGGTTCGGAAACGATCCATCAGTGTGTTAAAAGCTGCATTGTTTAGTCCTCCCGCGTTGTTAATACTGTTCGCGTTCATGCCGCTACCACCGCTGGGGGCCATTCCAGCCCCTGTGGAGGTGGAATTCGCCCCTACTCCCGCTGCTTCCATTTCTGCCTGGGTGCTAGAATTCCCTTGGGGCATCAAATCCAGACTCAACTTCTTCCTCACAAAGAGCAGGTCCCCTTCATTTATATTCAGCTTCTTCATCGTATCGAACTTGTTCAGGGGGACCCCGTTGTATGTCAATTCGTTCTCGTTCATGTTTAGCGCGAAGTCATTTTCGATAATGTTCACGATGGTGAAAATTTCTGTATCTTCGTGCACGTCCAGGCTGGTTATGATCTTGCTGTCGTCGGAGATGGTGATGAAGACCATTTTGCGGGCCAACGGGGGTGTAGGAAGAAGCGCTGTTTGTAAGTAGACACTGTGGTGGTACAAATTGGGGCTTCCCTCCTGCTCACAAGCAGGTGAACCTTCGTTTTACAAAAACGGGGGGAGTTGTGCACCACTGCCACAAGGAAACTTTGATGAAGAAAGAGAGCAGCAAAGCGACGAACCTGCTGCCGAACGGGGGTACACAGGGAGGTAAAAACACAACGCACGTTATGAGGATACCTTACGCGGAAAGAGAAATGAAGGCGGCGCAGAGGGAACAGTGGACGCGTTAAGTGGGAAGCATGCCCTTCACATAGGTGCACTTTGGAACTGCTCGCCTGCGCGCATATGCCAATTTTTTCGCATGAAGAGAAGTCGGATTTTATGGCTGCAGAGCTGTGTGGCGGCTGAAGGGCGACGTATGCCCGAGGTGAAACGCGAAAAAGGGGGGACGCGGGGAAAAACAGAAACAAAGGTGAACGCGAAGGGAAAGGAACACAGAACGAACACAAAACGAAAACGAAACGGAAACAAAAATACAGGCAAAATACAGGAAAAAACACAAAACGCGGGAATGGCACAGAATAAAAAAAATAACGTGACGTAAAATATGTGGGAAGAAATAAAAAACAATCAAATAGGGCCACGTTCAACGAAATTATGTGTCGCAAACTCTCCTTTTTTTTCCCCCCCGATCTTTTTTCATGGAGGAATTTTAAACCATGACGTGAACGCAGTGTTTTCTAAAATTTTGAATACCACAAAATGGAAGTGCAAATGTTTCAGTATAAATTTTGAAGGAATAACAAAATGAAGAAATTCTTCCTCAATTTTATTTTCCCACTTTTTAATGTCACACTTTTAACATCAGGGGGAATTTTTTTTTCTTCTGTTGCAGTATCGGTTTGCACATGGAACAGCGTCAGGTGTATGGATGGAGGGTGCCCCTCCGTCCTAGCGGTATCTTCGTGGGCGAGCAAATACCTGTGGGAGAGGACGTTTCTGCATGGGGAGCACGCGTGTGTATGGAAGGTGCATACAACTGTGCACTTTTGCATGTGCGTCACTAGCATGTAGTAGGAGGAATATTGGATCTCGCCACATAACCCATTTATTAACTTCATCTTCTAAATAACATGACCCTTTGGCTAGGAGATTATATTAACGCATTCTATGCAATATCCGCAGAGCGTGGTTTCCACCAATGTGCCACTCGCATGCCTTTCTTTTGGGTGTATGGTAGAGGAACATTTTGTGGGTAGCCTGCTCAGGTGAGCGAGCAGAAGGGGGTCTATAACCCCCCACTTCATCCCATCATCCGGAATGTGTACCAACTTGGGGAAAAAAATATCCCAAAAGGGATCGCAGAATGGAGGTCTCTTTTGGTGCACATTTTTACGCGTGTTTTGGCGTTTCCATTCGGTTGGCCCGTTGGTTACTTAGTCACTTGGCGATTTTGTTATTTAGTAACTGTCCCTTTTTTCTTTGTCCATGCCAATCTTTCGCGTTAAGCACTGATTCTTCACATCTTGCATCGAATGCAACCCCAATTGGCCATCTTTCTCTTTTCGCATAAATGAACCGTTGCAAGTTCAACCTTTGTGCTACCCCCCACCCCTATGTCAAAAAGAAAAAAAAAAAAAAGCGCACTTGACATAAGCGAGGATTGTATACATCCATAGACGTATATGTGCAGATAAGCATATTTTATGCCTGAGGCAGAACCCCACTTGGCACTTCCCCCGGAGTTAACCCATTCGAACAAAGCACGACGTCGTACAGATCATTCAGCTCTCCCGCTTTCCAACGCAACGGTGATGAGTGGGTAAAAGGGCTGACAAAGAAAGGTGACGAAATTGTAATGAAGGTCCTTTGCTTAACAATATTTGTTTTCATCATTTGAATACCCTCCAAGAAATTGCAATACTTGTGTGCATTTTGTGAAGGCGAAGAATGGGAAAACATGGCCGTGAATGAGCTCCATGAGCGTTATTCACCTTCGAGATTGAGCCCCTGGATTGGTTCAACCTGCCATTATGCATGTGCAATTTTATTCCGTGCAGAAAATTATTCGCATGTGGCTCCTTTGCCCACACAAGAAGAGTGCAACGTGCAGTGGATTCCAAAAGGGAGATGAATTTTAATTTAAAAAAACCCTTCGCCATAACACTGCCTCTTTCGCCTCAAAGAAAAAAAAAAAAAAAAAATTCAAATTTGAAGACTACACAATTGCTGCAATTCTGTAGGCGCACTTTTTCGAAGTACTACTTAACACATTTTACAAAATTGGCGAAGAGGGATATAAAATTAAGGAACAATTTAAATAACCATGATGCTATAAAAAGAGGGTTAATTTTTTATGTCACCTCTAGTTATGGGCCTATAGCCAAGGATACATGTATATACTGCTTTTATACTTGTGCGTCCTCTTCACCTGCAGAGATGGCACTCCGCATCAGCACCCGTAGTTGCTCCTGGCACCTCCTCCTAGCACCATGTTACGATTAAAAAGAAACAATATAGCAGCATTACGAACGTTACGTTGCAATGCAGTTTTGTTCTACTGATCTCTTTTTTTCTTCTTCTGTGATATTACATGTTCGTCATTCTTTTCGCTCACAACTGGATGTTTCTTCCACCTTAACCACGTGTAGACAATGGCCCAAGTGTAAAGTCCTTCCAGCAGAGAGGAATCCCTCTTTTGCACTGCCTAAGGGGCCTCACTAGCGTGAACAAGCAATTCGTAGGGAAGACACATGTGAACCATTTTATGAGTCAAGAGAGGAGTGCCCTGTCAACTTCTTCAAACGTAAAACTAGATGGACGCAATTCTGAGGATTACCAGAGTGATGAAGAAAGCGACAAATTAGATTTGAATGACAATGATGAGGACGAATCTGATGAAGGGGAAAACACCCAGGTGGAAATGAGCGCTGCGGTTGCCATAACCCAGGAGGAGATCATCACCGAATGCGAAGTTGGCGGAAACGTAGGGTGTACCCACTCCGGTGAAAATATCCCCGCCCGTGAACAGAGATATGGAAGCGAATCGGATAATAAAAGCGCCCACTTGAGGAAAAGGCACAAGTACGACCCTGACACAGTAGTGATGTAAGTGGTGTGGAAAAGGTCACCAAAAATGGAAAAAAGAAAAAAAATACATATATGTATATATATAATTATATATTTATATGTGTATCATTGTGCGTACGCATGTAGGTCCCGCTTCATCATTTTTCCCCTTTGCGCACCTCTGCATAGATGCCATTGCACCCATCGCTCCGCCTCTCTCTCCAATGCACTCAGATATAACGACGTAATCGATTTGCCCCCGGATATATGCACGCCACCCCTAAGCGAAGAAGAAATAGAGCAAGTCAACTCGGGGGCTGGTGGCTCCCCCTTGGAGAAGTACTCATGTGCCGTCGTTTATACTAAGAAGACGCGCTCATAGATTGCCGAAGTGAGCTTCCACAATCGGCAGATCAGTTGTTACAGATTTTCCCAGCACGCGAATCGCAGTTAGAGCGATTCTCACCGCTTGACTGCCCCAACCATTCAACTACCAGTGTAACTTCCTACATTATAGCGATACACGCGCCAAACATCGCATATTAAAAAAAAAAAAAAAAAAAAGAAGAAAAAATTAAAAGCACGCAACGCGAAACGGGAATGCATAACCAGAGGGGTGGAGGGAAAAAAATAATAACTGAATAAAATTTGTCACTAAAAAAAGGGAATGCAAAACCAAAGGAGCAGCCTTTTAAGGGGGGCGCCATCGCCCTCCTGATAAAAATGATAATGGGAAAAGGGGTCGACTGGCTAGGCGTAGCCATGTAATCCCCTCGTTTGACTACGGTCTGGGAGTGGACAAAATTGGCGGAGCCTCTTCCGAGAAACATAGAGGAGCCTCCCCTGCAATAGTGTCTCCCCCTCGGTATTAGCCAAGCCACAGCTGCGCGCTGGCTCCCCCCGCTCACGGCTCGGTTCCCGTGCGGAAGGCAAAGGACGTATCCAGAGGGTTGTACTTGTAGATGTACCAGAAATCCTCCGTCTTTAACTCCGCAGGAGTCAGCTTGATGTATTGGTATATGGAATTCAGTTCGTCCTTATCCAAAGGGTTAATATTGTGCCTGTTCAGGAGCTGTTTATAAATCAGGTCAATGTCGAGGTTGTTAAAAATGTCCGGCATTTCCTGGCCCAGTTGTTCCTGATACTGATAAAGCTCTTGGCAGTCATTTATGGTTTGGCTGATGACCTTCTTCACCTTTTCTCGGTTTTCATAAAAGTTCGAAATCTCCTCATCAGTAGGGACCACCGAAATGGTGTTACCCTTATAGTAGAAATGGAAGTCGGAGGTATCATAGAGGTACTTTTCTTTGTTACTTAATTTGGTCATTACTCCTTTGTATATTTTGTATTTGTCCCACTCGAACAGTTTGCTTTCTTTTAGGGCGAAGTATTCACCTTTTTTTTTCTCTCTTTCGACCCATATCCTGGAACTGATGAAGTTTGAATCATTCGGTTCGTCATTCAATCCAAAGGTGGATTTTATACGATCGTGTTCTTCCTTCAGATCAGTGTACTCATACCTTTTGTTAAAAAATGGGAGGGGATAATTATTCCAGTGGGTCCCTCCACTCAGTATGGGGATGTTTGCACTTTTGTAGAACGCCGTTTGGCTAGTTTTGTTTGGGTCCTTAAGACTATTAAGAATTGTATTTCCATCCATGGTGCACCCTCTAAATCGTAGAAAAATTTCGTGCAAATCCCATTCTGTGTGTTGATACAATGGATAGTTAAGCGCCAGCACGGAATCTTTTAACTGGCCTATGGTTCTGGGGCCAATTATGGAGGAAGCAACAAATGGTCTACTATAAGCGAAGCTTAAGCTTAGCTGGGATAGGGACATGCCGTGGGATCGAGCTAACTTCATGTATTCAGCTGTCGCGTCTTGAGCCCACACACATCTGTGTGATTTGTACAGATATGGGTACTTATTGCATCGTCCATTCCTTGGACCATAAGATAAATATCCGTAATCCTCCGCTTTGTTCCCTTTAGAGTCATCCAGGTCGTGATCGAGCTGGTCATCCCCCAGGACGGTGTCCGGGCCCATAGTGTGATACCTCTCCGGGTCTAAATACTTGCCTGTTAGTATTCCCCCAGCAAGCAACCCATAAGGAACAAGCGGTACATTAAAATTTTCTCGCAACATCATTTCTACAAGGCCGGATGACTCCACCTCATTTCTGTGTAACAAATTGTACAAATTTTGTGTACACACAATTTTCATAAATTTTTTTTTTTTTTTTTTTGCCAAACTACACCACTGGTATATTCCCCAAACAGATTCGTTCGAAACAGCAATATGTCGTACTTTCCCTTTGAGAATTAACTTCTCCAAAATTTCAAACTGCTCTTCTATCGACATTACGTTTTTTCCATTTTGTATATCCTGTGAGAAACTCAAATTTTCAAACCCCCATACGTAAGTGTCTTCTCCCTTTGCACCATTTGGTATGTACCGCTCAGGCATATCAATGGTTAAAATGTCCACATAATTGGTATTTAAATTTTTTAGAATTTTATCGAGCCTTTCTTCCAAGTTGTAAAAGGTAGGAGTGTCATCCTTTAGATCTTCCATAATCCAACTTAGGTAATATTCTCCATTGGTAAGTTTGTCCACATTTTTTGAGGAACACATTCGTAAATTTATGATGATGTTTTCTCTTTTCTTATCTTTGAGGAATAAATTCATATTTTTATTTTTCCCTTTTTTGTAGCTGACGGGGTCATGTGGAAATGGGTCATATTCACAGATATCAAAAAAATTTATTCCATATTCGTAAAATGCCATGTTCAGTAGCACATTCACATCGTCTTTGCTGATGAAGTTGTCATTTTCGTACATATTGGTGCCTACACAAAGTTCACTTACACAGAGGTTGCTTTCTCCCAACTTTCTGTACTTCATTCCATATATCAAATCGGCGTGGGTGTATATTTTGTGTGTGGGGAAACTGTTGGAATTGCTAATTCGGAGTAGTTCGTAAAAAAGGTGTTTTTTCCTCAGATCGTATTTCCCCTTTTGCGTCGACGAATCTGGTACGTCGGTCTGCTTCTCCGTGTGCACATTTTTTAAAATCGTCTTCATGAACTCTTCGCTTCCTGGGGGTGGCTTTTCTCCGAACCGCAGCTTTTCAATGTCTTCTCTCTCTTCGTACAGCTTTACATTTTTCTCATCTTCCTGGAGCATAAATTCTACCCTTTTGATGAACTCGATTTTACGTTCCCTCTCCAGTTTTTCCTGCTCGGCGAGGGGTTCCCCCTGCTGTTTCGCGGCGACATCGTCCTGCGAATTGTCGCTCTCCTGTTTTGGAGCGATATCATCCTGCGAGGTGTCCCCCCTTGGTTCCTCTTTGGTGCCAATTGATTTGCCCCCCTTTTGACTTCCCCTCCTTCGTCCCTTATTCACCCGCGCTGTGTTTTCCGCTTTTTCGTCCTCCATGGCAAAGTCGTCGGCAAAATATTCGATCGCCTCGTTGTCGTGAAACTGGTCTTCACTGGACCCCCCTGGAATGGCGATTTGGTGAAGGGGTTCTCCCTGCAGGGCTTCTCCCCCGTCTGTGCCCCTTTTAGCGGTCTCTTTGGTACCTTTCTTTCTGGTGTTTTTGGCACCCTTTTTTGCGCTCCTTTTTGTCCCCTTTTTGCTTTCCCTCTTTGCTTGCCTTTTAGCCGCCCTCACTTGCTCCGCCCCCTCTTCTGCCCCTTCACATGCGGAGGGGTCCTCACCCTCTGCACCACCGTTTTCATTTCCCATAGGGAGGCTCTCCTCCCTTTTTTTCCTTCCCCGACGGGCCTTTGCTTTTCCCTTTACCACTTCATCCTTTTCTGTGCTTCCCGGTTGCTCAGCGGTATTGCCTAGGTTTTTCCTCCTCCTCACGCACAACTTTGTGGCCCGCATGTTTAATCTAGTAGGGTTGCCCCGGAGCGATGCATCCCCATTAGATTGACGCCGATCACGTGGTCCCACTAACTGCACGCAAGTAATGACATGTCCGTTGAGAAAAAGGTAGGGAAGTCTTCTATCCTGAGGAGACGAACCCTGGTCTGGAAATTTTATCTTCACAAATCTATTCCTCCTTGGAACGATTTTAACGTCACGATTGCGTCTGTCTGTTGGATAATATGTGGTGCTGGGAATTCTTTTCTTTCGCACAGAGGAAAACATCTCGATAAGAAACCATGCGCAGATAGCTACGAACGAGCTCCTTTTCGTTTTCATAACGGTCAGGTTGGTGGGTCGAGATATGTTCGGGGGTCCAAAGCGGCTAGGGCGCTCCCACAGGGACACACAAGCAGACATGAGCACACACAAGTACACACAAGTACACATATGTGTCCACGTACTTGTGCACATTTATACCTTCCGCGATTTCACGCTCAGGCATATGCTTGTCGTCCTATTTGTTGGATACCATTCGGCACATGCATCGGTATATCTTCACCGCGCTCTCGCCCTGTTCCTTCAATTTCATCTTGAAAAATTAGTTATCGTGAAGGTATCGTGAGAAGAATTGTACGTGGGTTATTCTCGCTTTATCTCTTCCCTTCTTTTTACGTTTAGCCACAAAATCAGCCAAAAGTTTCTCTGCTCTTGAGAAGAGTTCTCCAAATTTAGTAAGCTCAAGTTAGTGTTGCTTTTTTCTTGTTTCAATTTGACCTAGAGCGTGAAAAAGAAAAAAAAAAGTTACCATTTTGAGGAGTGCAGAATAGGGGAATATAACCAGAATGGTCCCACCAGCATTCAGGAATAAATTTATTACAAAAAGGAAGGACTTGCACCGAAGGGAGCGATAGAGGCGAAAGGAACTCCTGGTTCGGCAAAAACATGGAGGAAAAAAAAAGAAAAATTAAGGAAAATAATTGCATGTTCACATTATGCGCAGCTTTCCTTCGAACATCTAGGGAGAGCAGAGAAAAAAAGATGAAAGAAAAAAAGAAACCTTTGGATATTTGCCTACATATATATACATAGATGCAGGTATGTACAAATGTTGCCCAAGTTTGTCACAAAAATGTATTCACAGAAACAGAAAGCACATCTTTTGAGCAACTCCCCTGGCTATTATTTCTTTTTTTTTTTTTAACCAACTTGGAAGCAGAAAACATATTTGTAGCTAATTATTTTGCCTATTTCTGCGAAAATTACCACGTAGTTGTTAATACGGTGACCAACGCGAACAAAAAAAAAGTGTTCCTTATGGGGTGAATAATACCTCGATCTACTTTCCCCTTTTGTTTATCCTACTCCTGTTTGGGAAGTTGGGCAACAGGGGTTTCCTTCCTAGCTTTAGGCGAAAGTATTAATTGGAGGGGCTACCCACCGAAGCAGCAACAGGACATACCCCCTCACTCTTCCAGTTAGCATGCACAAAAAGGCACACAACCCCAGTGGTATCCTTTCACCCATGGCAAGTAATAACCCCCCAGAACGGAATTTCCACCTATAAAGCACTCATGCACTGCTTTAAAATGAGAAAGCGGAAATATGGAAGCCGGTCTACCCCCACGGAGAACGAAGCAAATGAGAATCCCCTAGATGAACAGGAAAGAAAGTACATTTACCCAAGCATTGCCAACTCGCCAATACTGTTGCACAACGACGAGGTCATCTACGCATATGGTAGAAGTCTGATATTTTATTCCTTGACGGAAAAAAAATTTGTGAAAAAGATCGATGAGCATCAAAATGCTATTAGATCATTAGATGTTAATAAAAATGGAACTAAAAAATATTTCTTGACAACTGGTGATGATAAAATTATAGTGATTTATGATGAACACTGGTCCGTGTGCCACAAAATTGTGCATAAGAAAAAAATCGTCAAGGCGTACTTTTTAAAATATATACAGGAGGAAGACAAGAAGTTCGAAATAATTTTTATTGATAAGTATGGAGACGTGTATTTGTTTGACCTCAATTTGGTGGTGCGCAGGGGGGCCCATGTGGAGGAGGCGCCTCCCGCCATAGGGGAAGCCTCAACGACTGGGAAGATCCCAACGAGCGAAGATGTCCCAACGACGGAGGATGTCCCAACGACGAGTCACTCCAGCTTCACCATCAAATTGAGCTACCTGCAGGATTCGCTGAACGACATTCAGGAAAAGGACGAAGATTTGTTTTTCATAAATAATTTCGAGCGTATGCTTCAGGGGGAGGAGGAAGAAGAAGATAAAGCGGAAGAGGGTCACGCGGAAGGGAGTCACTCGGTAGGTGAAGAAGGGCATTCCGCCAAACCGCTTCCCTGTGGGGCGCCCCCCCACGAGGAAGGCAAGCTCGCCCAGGTGAAGGAAAAGCTGGAGCGCCACTACTCCAAGTGCTTCCAGAGTGAAACGTTGATGTATCCAATCCTCACGTGTAACTCTGCAGTCATATCGCTACATTACGACAGTAACTTTTTAATAATAGGAGACCGAGATGAAAAAATCAGAATTGTGAAAAATAAAAAAATAAACAAAATATACAACTTTTATTTAAATCACAAATTATTTATTACTTCCCTTGTCTTGATAAATTCTAAAACGTTTTGTTCTGCCGCTGCGGATTGCTACCTCCACATGTGGGACATTAAGACGAAGGAAGTTATCGACACAATCTATTTTGACTCCTCCTTTTTGTGCAAACTGGCAGAGTTGAAGGGACCTTTTATCAGTTCTCCCCATCTGAAAAAATATAAATTTGTTATCAACACGTTGATTTTTAAGGAAAGTACTTGGACAATCTACGCCACTGCCGAAAATCTGAAAGGAATATTAATCATCCCCCTAACCCTAAATAGATATGGCACCCATTTGTCAACTTTTAACAAGGATGAAATTTCATTTTTTCCGATTCAACAGGAGGTTTTATCTTTCATCCTTTTATCAGTTGGTGGGGATGAGTGTATACTTTTTGTCGATAGGAGTGCGGGCCATTTGCATCAGATCAGATTAACAGATCGTGGGCAGTTGATTGGAGAGGTGACTACCCTTGACTGCCATGCCTTCTTTGACGGCGCACAACAAATGGGTAATGTAGAATTCATGCCTCGTCTGACTGTTAAGCGGTTGCTCTGCTTCGCGGCAGTTCGGCCGATGTGAGGTTTCCCTCCTCAGCAAAAGTCACCATTTAACAACCCCCACCCGAATCCTGCTAAGTCACATTATTTTTTCTTCCCCCCATTCTTAGATATCGGATTAATAAATTACTGGAAACACACCACGATAGAGGACGGCATCCATTAGGGGAGAACTCTCCATTTCCTGTGTACCGGTGTTTACCCTACTTGTGGCTTCATTTTATGTGCCTTTGCAGAGCTGCCCTTTTTTTCCATTTTGCCCTTTTTTCCACTTTGTCGTTTTTCCCAGTTTGTAGCAATTTTTTTAACCATCTGACGTGTTTCTCCTTCACTTTAAAATTGTTATCGCTGGGCACTTTTGTCCCGCTTAGAGGAACGGGAAGGAAGTGCGCCCCGCATGGTCCTTTGCAAATTTACATGCCTCGCCTCTGCTGCGTAAATATATGTAATAGCACGCTTGTCGTGTAGGTTCATAAGCACATAACAAAGTTGACGACGTTGGTATTTGCAGCTCTTATGCGTTCCTTTTACTTATTAATTTAATTTCCCTTTTTTGTTGAAGCGTTCCCTGTGGAACGTATTTATCTCTACCCCTGCTTTTCATTACTTTTCCCCAACTGCACGAGCAGAAGTTTTCATACTCGAAGGAACAGCAAAAAACAAATTTTGCGCCACAACAAATGACGTAGTTTTGGCGTTTTTTTGGCCACCTGTGGAGTGCTAATCGTTCTGGTTATTTTTGCGAATAATTTATCCATTTCTCATTTTTTGCTCAATTTGTGTATCCATCTTTGACAGAATTTTTTTTTTTTTTTACTTTTTTAAAATTAGCCGTAATTTGAAGAGCACCACAAAGAGATTTACCGCCACGCGGAACAGTCCCATATAAATAAACATGCGTCTATGTGTTCACTTAAATGCATACCTTCTTAGGAACATAAACGGGGCAGTGAAATGTAAGCAGTAGCAATAATGGTGTTGTGCAGCAAGCAAATCTGCGAACCTCTTTGACTCGGCTAGTAAAGGCACACGTGGAATCCTATCCATTTGACCTGTATTGGAAGGGAAATTCAGGTGGACCATAGGTAGTACTTAACAAATCATGAGTGAGCAGTGGTATGGCAAAAGTAGGAACCCCAAGGTGTGTGAAGAAGTGCTCGCATGAGAGATAATCGCTCCTACTAGAATGAGCGATCTTAGGAGCAACTTGTAGGAGAGAGGCGTGATTGCCACACAAAGGTGAATCCCTTCCCACTCGTCATACCTTTTGGTCCAACCCCAAAGCACGAAATTGTTCGCAGAAATCTATGCACAACATCGGGTATTCAAAGTTGTATATGCAATTTCCACCCGCGGAGGACGCCCCACTTGTATCATCAGAACAGAAGCAAAATGAAAGAAGACGAATCGGACGAACCTGTACAGAAAAAAGAGTATGAAAAAACGTTTTGGGAAAAAATTGGAAAGCCCAAACACATTTTAGCGCCAATGGTTGACTTAAGCGAATTAGCATTTCGATTGCTATGCAGAAATTACAATTGTCACTTGACTTTCACCCCCATGTTACATGCAAAAAATTTTGTGGAGCATGAAAAATATCGGAAAAGTTATTTTCAAAGTTGCGAAAAAGATGAACCTGTAATTGCGCAGTTTTGTGGGAATAGTTCGAAAATTCTTTTAAACGCAATTGAGTATATTAAGAACGAGGTGAACGCTGTTGATCTGAATTTAGGGTGTCCGCAGCAAATTGCTAAAAAGGGGAATTATGGAGCCTTCTTACTACATAAGCACGACGAAGTGGTGAACTTAGTGTCAGACATAACGAATAATTGCGACATCCCAATTACTTGTAAAATTAGAAAAATTGACCAAGATTATCAGAAAACGTTAAACCTGTGTTATGATTTACAAAGCCGTAATGTCAAAATGATCACTGTTCATGGAAGGACAAAGGAGGAAAAAGGCGTAAATATGAAACAATGTGATTATGAAATTATTAAAATAATCAAGGAAAGATTAAACATCCCAATAATAGCTAATGGATCCATCGAACATTTTGAAGATGTACAAAAATGCCTAAATTATACCAAAGCCGACGCAGTTATGTGTGCAGAAATTTTACTCGAAAAACCTTATTTTTTTTCAAATCAAAATGTCCACACAGTGGATGTCGTGAATGAGTATTACGATTTGTTTTTACAATACGAGTCTAACACAAAATATTTAAAAGGACATTTGTTTAAAATGTTATATAAGTATTTTCAAGTGCACACTGATTTGAGAGACTTACTGAATAATTGCCACTCGCTGGATCACTATGTAACCTTTCGTTCCATTTTGAACGACAAAAGGAGCAGCGGCGTGCTCACGGAGTCCAGCCTCAGTTGGTACAGGAGGTACAGGAAACCCCAGTGAGGGGAAGAGGAAGGAAACAAGATTCCCCGCCGGCATATACCCGTATATGTGAACATATCCATATGTATGGCTTCCCATTCGTTTTGTAGCCGCACGTGTGCCGCTAATTATTTTTTTTTAATTCGTCCTATGGGTTAGTTTTTTAAGGGACCTACACACCCCAATAACACGTGTTTGTCGTAGCTGTATTATTCGTCTAACTAGTGCCCATCTTTGTTCAGCATTTTTTTTCTTTTTTCGTCAGTTTGTTTTTTATTTCCTTATTTATGATTTAGCCCTTTTACAATTTTGGCATACCAATTCGGCTCTTTTTTTTTTTGTCGTTTTTGAAAAGACGAAAGTTCTGGACAAATGGTTTATCGTCAATAATTTGAAGTATTTAAAAAATGAAGTGAAACCTTTTTGGCTAGCTCTTTAAAAAAAAAAAAATAAAATAAAGGCTGAAGAAAGGAACAAAGTAAGAAATAAAATAGGAACGGTGCTGGCAGAATTGTGCCGTACTTTTTGCGACGTTGTGCAGAGGTTTCCCTTTTTTTCCCTTTTTTTCTGCTCCTTTTACGGTATTGGCTAGAAGCGAAGAAAAGGTTTTAATCTTCAACAAAAGTTACTTTTCCTTTTTCTGTTTTCTCATTTTTTTTATCTCCAATCTGACATTCTCAATGTTCTGAAAAAAGAGGCAGAGGAAATGGGGATATGTGTGGAACTGCGCATTCGAGGCGTTTCCTAAGCGGTAACGCAGATATATTTTTTTTTTTCTCACCTTTTTTATTTCTCCGATTTGCGAATTTAAAAATTCAATGTCATTCTCAGACGACTTTATGTTGCTCTCAAGTTCGGATATTTTTTCCTCATAGCCCTGCGTGTCGGCATTTATATTATCATTTATCATATCTATTTGGGCTTTCAACGTTTGTATTTGGTAATTCGAGATAGTCTTATTGTTATTCACTGTGGATGCATTGCCACTGCTAGCATTGACGCTGCTACAGTTGCTGCTACTTTTCGCGTTTCTAATGGCGAAAATTTTTTTCTTTAATTGACTGTCTATGTTGATTAGCTGTTCTTGTTTTTTTTTCAAAATGTTTTCATTTTCAAGATAGGTATTTTTTAATTTCATCAGTTCTTCTTTTAATTGTCTGATTTCTTCATATTTTGTTTGTATGGACAGTTGCGTTTCGTTTAGGCAAATTTCATCTATCGCTTTTAGTTGTTGCTTGGAAATGTTTTCCAGCGCCTCCTTATCATTATTCAATTTTTGTAAAATTTCTTCATTTTCTTTCAGTTTATTTTCTAGCTTGACTATTTTGTCCGTATTGTCTTCTATGCTTACTTTGCTTTTTAACAATTCGATATTTTTCTTGTATTTGTTTAATTCGTTTATGGCTGATTTTTCAATGGAGTTTTTCGTGCCAGCCGTGGTTTTCTTTTTCACTTGTAAAAGGACATTGTCTAGAAATACCTTCTCTAATTTTAACAAATTCTTTTTTATTTCGGCGTAAATTTCTTCATTTTTTGTATTTTTACTTCCCTCGATAGTTTTTTCCGTCAACAGATTCGTTTTTATGGCGTTCTCTAAATTCTTCCTGTTATTCAAAATGGTGCTGCTCGAACTCATGTACTTATTCATCGTGGGCCAATTTTTATAGGGGGAAGATACACAAATGGAGAGTTCACTGTAAATGAAGTAGGGTTGTAGCGAAGAATCGAAGGTGACGGAAGAAAAAGTGTCGCAAATGAAGATAGACTACCGAATTCCACCTACAGCAATGAGTGATGCACAATTCGGAATGAAGCAAGCGTGAATGTCATTTTCCTTTTTATTTGCCTTACATTAAGGCCATAATTTGCACATGAAAATGTGCACTTTTATGTTTCGACCGTTTCAAAATGCACGAGGGGTAAATTTTTTATCGTTATTCAAAATTCATGAATAGCAGGTGTTGGAGAGGCTCCTCATAGAGGGTTTATACAAAGGGAGGGAGATGCGCAGGAGCAGCAGGAGCAGTCCCATTTCCAAATGTGCATTTTTCAAAAGTGGACACGTGCACTGGCAGGGAAGTGACCATATATAAGTGCACACTCACTTATCGACCATCTTGACACTTTACGGCTATTCAAAATATGTAGTTTTCACTGCAAAAATGTGAGGAAAAGGTTTTAGGAAGCCACAAAGATGGAGGTGAAAGTTTGCGCTTATGCTTCTTCAAAAGATTGACGCTTCTGTGCTTCTACACATTAGACAGATAGTCATTTAAAAAAAAAAAAAAAAAATTGCAGTACGGATTACAGGCAGCAGTTCCTATGTATGATTATGTACGGTAATAAAAGGAGTGTACCTCAAAGCGCGCATAAACATGAGAAATCAATTTTGAGAAGCCTAAAATCATTATCATCACTAATCGCAGTTATTTAACAATCCTGCTGCTGAGTATTGCGGTAGTTTGCGTGTTTTTACCGTTCGAAAAAAATATACTGTCTTTTAAAAAATGGGTGAGGAGAAAAAAGACCATTTTCCGATTTTACTAGGCTAATCAAAACGTATGAAACCGTTTGAATTTTTCCCATCTTTGGCACTTTTATTGAATCGGAACAGCCACGTTCGGGTTAATGGGCAACACAATTCGCGTAGGTGTGTTCCCTATTTAAGTCGCTTAACTAAAATGTGTGCATGAGAGTATAGGTACGCCTATGCATACGTTTGCATGGGAAGGAGCGTTTTCCTCACCTTCATGCTGTTGCAAAGGAGGCTTGCCGCGCGAAAGAGAAAAAAGGTATACACATAAATAAAGATAATTAGCGGCAATAGATGGACTTTAAAATCTACTCAATCTGTTATCTGTTGATACGCTACTTCTGCCGCTTTATCACCGTTATGGGGGAAGGTTAACTTTGTTTTTCTCATATTTTGTTCCATTTGCTTTCAATTTTTTTCTTTTTTTTCATCCTTTTAACCCATTCCTCCTTTCCCTTAGCAGTAGACAATCGCCTCACAGCTGCGCCATTGATTTTTCACTGTGTTAAGGGTTGTTACTGTTTACCAAAATGGTGAATGCAAAAATTTCATTTTTGGTTTTTTCTCTTTTTCCCGATTGAAGGGTTTGTCATTTTTTTTGGCGTACGTGAAGGTTCACAAACGGTGTTATATCCTTTTGTTAAAAATGACAGTCCATGGAGTGCGTGCACCCAAGTGAAAAGTGTGCAATGGGGAGTAATGTGGAGGAGGGTCCATGAGCTAGCAAACATAGGGTTACCATATGTATAGATATATATATACATGTGGATACCCTTCTCACACGTCCGCTCTCCCTACGCTGCTTCACAAAAGAAGCTTGTTAGCCTTTATCTACCTGTGTATACGTACAATTGTTCATCCGCGGGGGATAACAGAAAAGGGCAGAATTTGGCGAAAGTACCACGGGACGTTCAAAAGTTTGGGGATTATTGACTTTGCCACATCAATGTGTGCTCATAATATATACGCTTATACAGATGATGTGCAATCCTTGGAGCCCCCCTCAAATGGTGTCAAAAGAGGGGATCGCTTTCCCCTTTAATTTGATTGCAACCCAATGTGTAGTTTTCTTAAACAACATGTGGAATGTCGTGTGAGCGAATTGTTAACTCCAGTCCATTACTCAACTGAGGTGATGGGAGGGGGTATAAAAATTGAGAGTTCTATAGAAAGGGAAAAACCAGTAGCTGTAATTAAAACAAACCAGGGAAGATCCTACCTCATAGATTTGACCCATTCGCCGCGAAGACGCCCAAGATGCGCGCTTCGCATTCCACCAGCGATGTGTTATGGGTTACATGTCACGCTGCGTTTCTTCCCCGTGGGAGTTCAAAAAATGCTATGCTTTTTTATTATCACGTCAAAAGAGGAATTTTAGCACTTACCACATGTGCGACAATGACATTTTGTGCTTGGCACATTTCAGCCTTTTTAAATTTTACTATATTGCTTTCTGCCCCCGCCCTCAGTGTTCTCTGATAAATGGCGAATAAATGCTGGTCGGGGTAGGCATGGATGCATAGGTGAGCGCGCATTTGCAGGAAGGGAAAAAATAAATTGACCCTTGGGGTGACTTCTTCTTCTTCTTTTTAAGAAATAAAGATTAGTTCAAATAAATTTCCCTTGTGTATCGCTTTTTCTTTTTTTTTTTTTTGTTACCTTATACCATTTGGAAATTAGTGAACTGTAACTTCTGTTCACATGTTTTCTTGACATTTTTTTCCACATTTTATGTTTGTATTTTCGTGCGTGTTTTTATTTCCACTTTTTTTTTCCAAGCGAATTGATCTTTTCTGCGGAGAAGATGCCCGTTAATTTTTAATCGAAAAAAAAAAATAAAGGGCATTCGAGATTTCGGATGATATATTTCTTCATGTACAAACATAGGCGTAAGTGCATTTTTTATATGAAGATCTGGGAGTACGTCCTCGTATGACCATCATGTCAGCGTGACATTGCTCTCGCTTAGACCAAGGTGCTGTATTACGTGAGATAGCACATCATGTGAACGTGAAAATAAACCGTCGGAGGTAGCGGCTTATAAGGGGGTGATTACCCGATTTTATGCGCAAGTTGCGTTTATTTTTTTTTTGTCCTAGGTAAAAAGTACATGTACATCTCTATACACGAGCTTGTGCGTTACGTGTACTCTCACATACGTATGGCTGAATGAACGCAAAAAGGAGGAGGGGCTTGGTTAGAGGATCCTCCTCCCGTTATCTTGCTCAAATTGTGACCGTCTAGCACAGTGGTGAGGAGTGTCTTTATTCGTCAGAGCAGCCGAGTGGGTTCATCCCCGCCCAAGCTGGCATAGACAGTGCTCCCCTCCTTTTTGTGTGTGCAAACAGGTTATTACCAGTAAGGTGGAGTAACCCGCGCTGTACACACTGTGCTTCACCACTTAAGTCCCCATGCGCTAAGACAAAATGAGCAACTACATCTGGAACAACACCTACTCGCTAGAATTTTTGAGCGAAGACTTTTACGAGCTGAACATCAGTACAAAGGACAACGTGTACGAAGTTGTGAGGAAAAGGAAAGATGACAACGAAGTAGAGAGCCTTAGCATTAACATAAGCAACCACATATGTATGTTCGTACAGCTGTTGGATAACTTGTTAGGGAAAATCAGTTACAATAACAGCACAATCAATGACACATTAAATTATAAAAAACTGTCGGATATCTTCCACTTTGTAAAAAATCAACTATATAATTGTGATTACAGCTTGTTTTTGAGGATTTATTCTATTTACCATACGTATAATCATAGAAAGAATGGGTACCTGGATGTGAACAATCTGTACACATTCATTTTGGACATAATAAACAAGATTGAAAATTTGAATGAAAATAATTTTTTGATTCTCCCTGGAGGGTTTTACTTACAAAAAGAAAAAATGCTAATTAAAATTCTGTACATAATTCATAAAAAAAATAATATGTACAGTTTTGCCGTTTTAAATAATTCCATCTATGGCATTCAGTATCATCCTTTCAAGATTGACGAAGTGGACAACTTGGGTGTTCTCCTAAGGGACGTAACTCTATGTATAAAAAATATTAGCAAAAATTTCCTCACCAACTCCTTATTTTGGCTGTGTCTGTACCGACTGTATATTTTCCCCAACCCGGACAACGTTGACATTTTGTACCAAGTGCTGCTGCCATATCTGAACAACTCCTTTTTGACGAACAACTGGAATTTGAACAATAATAAGACGGTCCGGGTGTCCCAGCCGGGGGGGACCGCTGTTAGCGGCATCAGCGGTGCCGGGGTTGGCAGTGTTAGCAATGTTAACAGTGTTAGCAGCATTAATGTCGACCCTTACGCAGACGCTTTCAGCCGGATGGGAAACGCCCCCAATTCGCAGAACCTCCTGAGCGGTACGCATAACTATGCAAACAGTTCGAATCATCCCGCTAAAAATCGCGCGGGGGGAAATTTCAGTGGCCTTGACCAAGCGACCAATTTGAGCAACTTCGACCAATTGACAAATTTGAGCAACTTTCACCATGCGACAAATTTTAACGATCGAAGCCAACTGTCCAATTTTAATAACCCTGGCCAAGTGTCCAACTTAATCAACTTGGACCATGTGGGAAGCTCCACGGAGGATTTCCAAAGGGCAAATAAATTTAACAGATATGAAGGTAGCCCGCCCCAGAAGCCGGACTATTTCAGCGCTTTCGATTTTGTCGATCATGTGAATCCCCGGGAGGGGGGCAACCATGTATACGGCGCTGCCGGAATGGGAAGCGAAATGGGAAGCGGTATAGGCAGCGGAATGGGCAGAAAGATGGACAGCGGGATGTACGATGGGCGATCCACCAACAACAACTTCTTCAGCGACGGAAGGAGAAACGAAAAGGCGGCAAACGAAAGTGAGAAATACGGAGGAATATACGTAAACATTTACAAAAATAAATTCACCTCCTTCTCCATGAGCTTATACTATTGCATAGTTTACATTCTCAAAGTTTTGAATATACAAGAGGAAGACATCGAGGTGTTTAAAATTTTTCTCTACTATAGCATCGTCTTGAAATTGTGTGACGATTTGTTTGTGTATGATAATGCAGAGAGGAGTCGCATCGATGGTTCCAATTCGAGATTCATGGCCACAGGAAAGGGGAACTTCTTCCCCAATAGAAATGACAAGAAGGAGGCCCCCTTTTTTGGGAACAATATGTCTTATCCAGTTGATGGTTTCTCCCCCATAATGGACATAAACCATTTGAGTGGGAATTATGACCACCGGGGAGATGGACAACAAATGTACCTTCAAAATGATGGAAGCATTTCGAAAAGCGACGTCTACGGCAGAGTCGAAATGAAAAAGGACCCAAACAAAATAGACTCCACCTTTTTCGACTTCCTAGACATGAGCATCAGAAAATTGTGCATCCTCTTTCACCAATACTTTTGTAAAATGAAAATGGGAATATACGACAAAAATAAAATGATAAGAAATGAGATTCTTAATGAAATATTGAAGAAGGTGGTATTTGTAAAATATATGTACACCAAGGTAGAGTCTAGGTTTTATGCAGACGTAACCATAACGGGGGGGGGAGAGTTAATAAAAGGTAAGGATTACAAAAACAGCATTAAATTCCCCATGGAGATACTATTACAGGAAGATATGTACAAGAATTATCGCAAAGTAGAAATCAAAAAGGATGTGAACATTCCCATTTCTTTTTACATTTCGAGGAGAAGCATCCAATGCTTTAACGACCTGTATGTTATACTTTATCAGACGAATATTATAACGAATATATTAATTAATCAGAAGAACTACATTAAACATTGCTATTTGCTGGCCTTTTCCTTCGTTTCCCATGTCCTCACCAATATTTTGCCATCCCCGAAGCATTTTATTTACTTGTCCCAATTTCAGAAGCTGAAGAGGTCACTCCAGATTAGTCTCTTCCAGGAAATACACCTCATGCACAACAGTATATATTTTATATCCTGTTCGATTGTCCAGAATAAGCAAATCGTCATGTACAAGATTGTTGACAGTTCCATGCTTTTGTTTTTGTACGACTTTCTGTTGCGCATTCCGTGTGTGGACGTGTGCTCTCCGTTCGCAGTGCATTACAACGGATTCTCGCCCACCAGGGGAAGTTATTTGGTTTACCCCCGGGCGAGAAACGGCGTTGGGAGCGTTGCGAGCGGTGAGAGCGAGAGTGCAGAGCGCAGAAGAGGCCGCAGAAACGGTGGAAGTCACTACCAAATGATGAAGCAATTCTCGAGGAATGTGGCAGAGAATGACAGCTACTCCTCGCTGGACGAATGCGTACACGCGCCGAGTGGAGCGGGGATCCAACTTTCCGGGTACTGCATAGACATATCAGTGCTGGAATGCTTTAGCAACTTCTTTCTCATCATAAATCCGAAGCTAAACATAATGAGGTCAGACATCATAGAATATTTTTACAAAATTAGTGAGAAAAAAATTAACAAAAACAGTGAGCTCTTTTTATTCGAAAAAAGTGACGACATAAACAGGAGCGAAATAGAAATTCTGGAGAATATCAGCTTAGACCTAGGGTTAGAAAGGAAGAAAAATAACATCATAGAATATTATTGTGGAGAAAATGCCCTCTTCAAACAGTTGATACCAGAATTTTACCACCTTAGAGATATGCTTTTCTTATTCAAGTCCTATATGTGTCCCTATATTGACAAATTACCATCTGTGCGGGTTTACAAATACGACGACATAAATTTAAGGTTTAGCTACAAGAACAAGTTAAATGTGAGTGTTTTTAATCGTGATATTGATATATGTGGGTATATGTGCCCCCCTAAGGATACGAAACTGAATTTTTTTTCCTTCCTCTACCAGTTTATGCAGTCCCAGGAGAGTAAGAAGGACAACTGTATTTTGACCTACTCGAATCCTAATATGTATACCAGTACGTACATCGAAAACGAGTTGGACGTTTTATACGTAAACGATTTGCCTTCTTTTCATCCCTCCTTGAATGTGCGAGATGTTGAAATTCTGCTGCAATATTTGACCGTCCCATATATTCGAATTCCGCTAATTTTGGAATTTTTTTGTGACAAGAACAGAATTAAGAGTTTCCAATGCTTTGACATCCAACAGCTACTTCTGTGCACTTTGTTCGAGCCTTACATTTTTAAAAATAAGTATAAAGTTACGGAGGAGGATAATTATATTCCTACAAAGGACAGGAACATCTTCGCCACGAAGTATGGGCTGCTACTGAACGAACTGATTATGAGTCCCAAAAATGTCCTTTGCAGCATTTACTCCTACTTGGAACTGTTCTTCAGTTTTGATAAGGAGAATAGCAGCAGCGGAAAAGTCATCATGGTGTTTATCGTCATGTTATGTACCTATGTTAACTCGTACATAGGACTGGTAGTCGAAGCGAATAGGGAAATACGCGCAAATTTGCGCAACATTGAAAATATTGTCGCAAAGGAGGGACTCCTACCTGGGGGGAAGCGCACTAAGAAAGGGGTTACCCCGCAAACGGGGAAACACCAATCGGGTGAGACAAAGAAGGCAAAACGGAACAGAAAAAGGAAAAGAAAAAAACTTCACTTCTTTAATAAACTGAGAAAAAAATTGATAAAAAATGAATTATATTGCTCCGATGATGTTTTCTCGAATTTGGAAACTTACTACAGGAAGATAAAAAGAAATCTAGAGGACGAGGTCATTGAAGTTTTGTTAAAGTATGCCAGACTGTGCATCCAGAAGAATGACATAACCACATGCTGCATATACCACGGATGCATCCTGCTAATTTATAGGGATATCAAATTTAGGGAGCTCAACCGAAACAACGTGAAAAATTTATTGTCTTCCATTTTTTTCATTTTAACTTATTACACCTTCAATGCGGAAACGAACTACGCGGATTTGAAGAATATATATGGGTTGGGTTCCCTCTTTGTTAATACAAGTGACAGTTTGAGCGGAGGAGGCATGAAATTCTCCCACGTGGGGAGGAGCAATGACAAGGGTGCTACAAACGGACAGGAAATCCCTGGTTCTGCTGGAGACCCCTCCAATGACAGCTTTTCCATGCTCATTAAGACCTTTTCCCTGTGCGAATGTGACATTTTTATTTCGATACATAGGCATAGAAATATGCTGTTGAAATATTTGGAAAGAAACGAAATGGAGCGAAACATCATTTTCGAGCATACCATCCATGTTTGTGCGTGTGTTCACGAGAATAACAAAAATGAATACACTAGAGGTGGGGGACTCAACCGGTTTAACTCAAATATTTTTTTGAATTTCCACGCGAATCAAAATATCATAAGGAAGTGGCTACCCGCGCATAAGTTCAAGCACGTGGGGATTTATACCATAGAGAATGTTACCCATGGCAGGGGAAGCCGCAGGGAGGAGCAAGAGAAGGGGGAGGCAGGGCAAGGGGAAGGTGTACGGCGCGGAGGAAAAATGGGCACGTCGAATTATTTTTTTACATCCTCTGATTCGTCCAGTTCGTCTGCGTTGGCCAGTTCGTCCGGTTCGACCGGTTCGACTGGTTCGTCCGCTGCTTCCAACTCCTCCATGTCCTCTTACGATGATGACTTCACGTCCACGGAGGACGACGAATCGGAGGAGTGCGAATCTGTCGGGGAGGTGGCGAACAAATCGGTGCAGAAGAAACACCAAGGAGGGCCCGCCGCCCCCAAGGAGAGGGAAGCGGAATCATTGCCATTTGATGAAAACGCAAGCGGGAAAAAGGACGGAGGGGATAAAAATGGGGACCTCTCTCAGGAGAATGCGACGATGCGGACGGATCAGCCAACTCGTGAGAAGTCCAGAAAGAAGACAAAAAAGAAGCTCACTGAAAAGCTGGAAGCGAACGGCGAGGCGATGAAGATAAACGAATTAAAGAGGAAGAAGCGAAAAAAAAAGAAGAAAAAGAAAAAGCAAATGAAGATGATGCAAAAAAGAAGAAGCGACTTCTTGGACAATCAGAACGATGAAAGTTACAAAGATGAAACGAAAAGGAACCCCTTACACGACACGGAGTCGTTGCACTCCAACTCGATTAACCCTATTCTAAACTTCCCGTCCTTTTTCAGAAGCACCAGTAGAAACATCACCAGCAGTAGCGAAAAGAGGAAGTTAAGGAGGCAAAGGGCCCAAGCCAGGGCAAAAGCCAAGAGGGACAGCATCCTCAGCAACAACAAGTACATTTCGTACATAAAAAAAATAATAAAAGAAAAAAACATTCTGATCAATCTACAGCTATTCACATTCTCCTACAAGGATAATAATATCATTACGCTAAACGATAACATGAAGAAGTTTAAAAATTACAGAGATGTCTTTTTCAACAATAAAAGTATCTACCTGAGCAGTGAGAAGAGAAAAAGAGCACATCACAGCAGCAAAATGAAAAAGAAAAATGTGAAGGTCTTAATTACGCAGTCGTATCAAAACTTCTGCGCCTTTAGCATTATTGGGAAGAAACACAATTTAGAAGTCTGGAGAATTTCCAACAAAATAAACTTAAAAAATTTAATGAGTTACCAATATGATAAATCCAAAATATTTTACCTCAAAAGTGGTAGCCTACTGAGCGGTATGAAATTTAGCCCCACGAAAACGGAGCGGGCTAGTAGTGAAAACGCCTCTGGTGATAATCTCAATATGACCTGCTTTTACAACTTTCTGTCGAACGAAGTTAAGACGGGTGTTCTGTACGAGCAGGAGAACAACGAGATGTGTGTGCGGATCATTTGGAAGTTTAAAAAAAGCGACATGAGTAAACCAGATGGGGATAATAACCCCAAGAGCATCCGAATCGGTGCAGAGGATGTCAAGGGTAAGGACAACGGCGCCGTAGGGGGGGTGGATGATTATGGAGCGAGAAAGGATAAGGAATTTTTCGAACTGAAGTCCTTTAATATTAATTATGAGACCCAGAACATTGAGGGTTTGTTCAATTTTAAATATGAGGAGAATCAGTATGATAGCAGCTTCATCAACACAACGGAGGAGTCCTCCTTCAGTGATGACACCAGGATTGTTTCGAATGGGTACGACCAGGAAGCTCACCCCGCGAGGGACAATGCGGAGAAGGCGTCCACCAAGTTGGTGCCCAGTAGTAGTAGTAGTAGCGACGGGTGTAGCGCAACGAGCAATGGAGGGAGTATTGGAGGAAGCAGCGGAAGGAGCAGCGAAGGAATCAGCGTGGGAGGAGGACACCTCGCCATCTACGGTGCGGGAACTGAGCCAAACTGCCGCACTAAAGGGACAACAATCCAGCAAGCGAAACAGGGAAATTACAAAGAATCCGCGGGGGGTAAGTTAAAAAGCGGCGCCACCCATTTGGAGGCAAAAAGGGAGAAGGAAAAAAAACAGAATAATAAAAAAGACAGCCATGTGGATAAAGAAGCACAAGAGGAAGAAGAACATGGACTTCGAGAAATAATTTATCGGAAAGATATAAACTGCATCTACATTTACAACATCTATTTTAAACTGAACCGGTTTGTGAAGAAGCTGTATTACTGCAGTGACGTGAAAAAGGTGTACTTCTCTACCAGCATAAACAGGTGTAAAAATTTGTTTTACAATTTTGAAAATAACAATGTGCGTCTTTGTTACTATAACAGTAAGGAGACGTACGACAAGTACAGCGTGAGCATATCGAGAAATCTGTACAACAATATCCAGGTGCAGAGCTATTTGAACCCAGTGCACTTGTCCACCTTCGTTCCGAACATTTTGTTGCAGTACTACAGTTTCTGGTACAATTCGGATGGAAGTATTATTGGGGAAATCAAGAGTTTGAAGAAGAATCGGAAGAACAGAAATTCGATCATATACATTAGATTATTCGGGGGAGAGCGGGAGGAGGGACTGGTGCCCACCGAAGAGACGGGGAAAAAGAACAGATACCTCAATTCTGTGACGAAGGGATTACTCCCGCATGATGCAGAGAGCAAGCATATGCTTAGTAGGAACCATTATGGGGTTGTGCAGAAGTTACAAATTTTTAATTCACCAAAAGATTCAAGTAAAATCACATCCTTGAGAGTGAACAATGATTACAAGGCGATGACTCTTATTAACATCCTGAGTTATGAAAATAACGAGGTGTATAGAGATTTTTACAATCTATTGATGAAATTTGATCACATTACTTATTTACTAATTTATACGTTGAATGTCCCTTCCCTTTTTGGGGGTACCTCCGAACATGTGGATGTGAGCACCATTCCAATAACAGTGGATTTGGTTGAAATACCACGGTTAAACTTGACGCTGAGGAGGAACAATGTGGATATAAGGATGGGTTCCGGTGAAAGGGATGAGCCAAGTGAAAACCACGGCGTTTTGTCCACCGAAGCGGCGAAGAAGGATTCTTGTAAATACCACTTCGAAGAGCTCAACATGCATTTATACACAGGAAATCTCCAGAAGTATAGCTACATATACAACGTAATAAAGAAGATGAATAACACAGTTCTACTGCAGAACAGCAAAAGTGACTTCTTCTTTCTGGTGTCCCTCTTGAATAAGCCATTTTTTTTGAACATTGCAAATTTGTATAAAGAATTTAACAAGAAAAATATCCACTTGTGTACTCTCTTGGAGAAGCATATAAACATCCTGCTAAAAAATCACATGTACGTAACTATTTATTATCATAATTTTAATATAAATATGAATGTAAACAAGAATGTGGATGTGCTGAGTGAGAACGCGGAGACGGACACGGCGTCCACTCTGCAGTACATCATTTTGTCCATCCATAGTTCGAAGCTCTTTATCAATTTCAGAAATATTTACAGCTGCTTCTTTTTTATCGTGTACAAGTATATACAGAAGGAGCATGAAGAGGTGGTCGAATACTGCAACAATTTGAGCGTCTGCAAAGATGACATTAAGGAGATAAAATATTTGTTAAACATTTTAAACTACTGCGATAGTAGCATATTTTCGGATGTGGACTCTTGTGCATGCAGATTGAAAATATTTATCACCCTGTCCAAGCAGATAAAAATTATTCTCCGCAAGAAGAGGCATCGACTGGGCACCAGAAAAGGCATGTGGAACATGGATCAGTACTACAATATTTTCCACTATGTAAAATCTCTTTGGAATTTTGACAAATCAGGACCGAATGATAATAACTCTTCCAGTGGGAATGAAGCCTATAATAGCGGGTTGGATGCTAATCATTATTCCACCGGTAGGGGTGTCAACAGAAGAGGTAGTGAAAGTCGAAATGGTCCGCCACAAGGAAGGGACACCAAAAATGGAAGGAGAAAAAATCAAGTGCATGATACAATGAACAAGAGTGAAGACAGCTCAAGTGTGTACGGCGCCTCGGACAATTCGTCCTCCTACGACAGTAACTACGTGTCATCTGAGAAGGAAAACAAAAAGAAGGAATTAAATGCGCAAGAAAAAATCATCGATGGAGAGGATGACGATTTGACTGGCAAAAAAAAAATTGTCAAGAAGAGCACCGATTTTAATAAAAAAAAAAGTGTAAAAGGAAGGCGCGGAGAAAGTCAGCCGCATAGAGGCCAAAAAAACAGGCTAGATAAAGACAATGATGCGCCATATGAAGAAAACACAAATATGCACATGTACATATACTGGGACATCATTAAAGACATGCAGTTTTATATAAACAATCTGATTTATATTAAGGCCAAGTGCAAACTAACCATCGATGAGGAGATTTTCCTCTACCAAAATTGTAACATCAATATACATAAATACAAGCTGATTTATAATAGGTACATTATCCTGAACAGCATTTTAGAGTCCAAGCTGACGTCGGACAAGTGCAACCCACTTTTCTTTTACAACATTTTGAGGAAGAAGCAGCTGGAGAACCAAGCCAAGATGAGAAAGTACCAGATTCAGTACCGGAAGAAAAGCAAAATTGATGAGCTGCACCCCACCAAGAAGTTGGAAATGCATCTGGCCTCACCGGAGTACAGCCTGACCTATAATCAAAACAGCTACGATGTGGCGAAGAAGAAAATGCAGCCCATTATGGAGAGTAAAACCCATTTTGAAAACATAAAGAGCAATTTCGAATCGCTAAAGAATTGTCTTAGTGGCAAGAAGGAAAATCACACAAAGGATAACCGTCTCGTCGTCTCGATTAACGTTCCAAAAGTGGAAGCAGTAAAATACATTAACAACATTGATGAGAATATATTCATGAACATAAATCTGTATGACAATATTGGACATATTATTAACAATATGAGTTACAAAAAGATGGAGGATAAGAACAACGTGGAGGCTCTGAACTATCTGAACAGTCTAATCAACTCATTGGGCATACAAAACTTTTTTATAATCTACAATTACTTCATTAACAATTTGAATGTGAAAATAATCAAAGGGGAAAACACCTTCCTCTATGGAAACCTTCTCTCAAGGTACCTATACTTTTACAATTATAACATAAGTCAGTATAGTAAAATTATCTATATATTCATATTCATCATTAACCATCAAGAAATTGTGAATATGCTTCCAAAAATTGACGACCAGAAAATGAAAAAGAATTATTTAAACTTTTTCAAAACGAATGACTCTGTTTTTAACTTCTTTAATGATATTTTTAAATTTGTTCAGAATTTCCAAAAGGAAAGAAAGAAAACAATTAAAAAGAATATTCTGCCCCTCATGGTGGATAATAATCTGTCCATATCGATATCTGATGTAATTAAGTACCGACTTATGATTAACATAAACGTGGACGATTACATGTGTGAGAAGAGGGTCATACAACCCTTTGACGTTAAGCCAAATGTGCACGTCGGTTTCGATCTTCTCAACGAGTTATGCTTCAGCCCGTTTAAGAAGCTGTACAAGTACCTGCGCAGGGTGAAGCCAACTGGAGGGCCGACCCTCCAGGGAAGAGAGGCACCCTCTCAAGTGGTTAGCGACGGAAGAGAAGTAGACCTCACCTGGGACACGTCGCCGAGTCTAAACCAATCCAACCGGTTAACAGCCTCTAGAAAAAGTATGCTCAATTTCGACTTCGAAGAGAGTAATGTATCGTGCCAAAACACCTATTCGAAGAATTTTATCCAGAATATGAAAAAGGATTATAGGGCCTATCTGGATTATCAAGGGAAGAAGATCGAATATGAGTTCATCGGGTTCAGCGCCGAGGAAATTAAGATGACATTCAGTAATGTTAAAAAGCTGAAGGAGTATGTGAACATGTTCGTCAGCATTAAGGACATTTTGCTGGAGATTTTCGTGGGGGACAATAAGTTGCTTGAGTGCATAAATGAGTTCATCGAGGGGGCGGAGAATGCCTGCGGGAATGGGAGCGGGTGCGGCAGCGATGGAGACGACTACAGCGATAACGGAAGTGGCAACGGAAGGGGTAGCGGTATCGATAGCGACGGAGGGATGACCGGAGAGAAGGAAGCACTCGCCGAGGAGAATACACCCTGGAACGAAGACCTCGTAGATATAGACACACACAACGAGCAAGGCCAGAGTAACAATCCAAAAAAAAGGGCAGAAGACAACCAGGCTGCAGGCTACTTTCTGTACAAATTTGGAGTTCTAGGAAAAGCAGAAAAGGAAATCAATTTAAAAATCCTCATAAGGTGCTTCATGTCAAAGTACGCGCATGAATATTTAGCCATGATAAACCCAAATTTGAAGAAGAACAGCGCCAAGAAATTCATTAACGTCGTCTTGCTGTACATGCTTATTATGAACCGGAAGATTTTCCTGCACGAGTGCATAAGTAGCGTTATAAATATTTTGAATATCTTCAAGGTGTACAATTTGAAGTTGAAGCTTTTGAAGCAGAAGGAGAAGAGCGTGCGGAGGGGGGGCTCGAGTGTAGGCGCGAGCGGGAATTTGAGCGTGAGCAGCAACGACAGATCAGTCGCCAACGTGAACGATGGGACGAACGGCCTGCTGAGCAAGCTTCTGAGCAGACAGAAGAAAATCATAAACAAAGCCATCAACACGATTCAGCTGGGAACGAAAAACCTGACGCAGCTGACGATCACGGAGAGACACTACTTCACAATGAGGAACAAATCCAACCACCAAAAAATCGTGCACAAAAATTTGGATCATAATTCGGATTCGTCCGACGTGTCCACATGCTACTTCTCGAGTGACCAATACGAGCAGAGGCGGGGAACTCGCCCTGTAAAGAGAGAAGAAAATGAGGGGAGAAAATACTTGAACGGTTTAGGTGGCAAGGTGGTGGACCCATTATTGCTGGGTTTGCACCAGGAAGAACAAGACGAGGAAAGAATGAATAACGCGGAAAAAAGGCACAACGAGGAAAAAAGGAAGAACGACAGAAGAGTGCACAGCGGGGAGAGTGCCAACTGCTACTACACGTACGACCCGAGGCTGCTAATCTTTGAGTACACGAATAATTTAATAATACGAAAGAAGCAAGTAAAAATGATAAAGAAGTTTAAGAGAGATTTTATAAAAAAAAAAAAACAGTACTGTTATCAAATAATTATGGGTGGAGGAAAGACAACCGTGTTGTCACCTCTCTACTTTTTAATCTTTTCCAACTACTTTTTAGTGTTTAATATGTGTCCGCAGCCCTTAATTCACTTTACGATAAATACATTCCGATCGAGATTTTCCTCCATCATAAAGAAGAATATCTACTATTTTAATTTCAATCGATACGATAATATCACTACGGACTTGTACGTAAGCCTGTGTAGTGCACTAGAGAACAAATACATTTTGGTGACTAGCCCAACGTGTATCAAGTCACTGTTCCTTAAATTGGTGAACACAATCCAGGAGCTAAATAATATCAAAACGTTTGACATGATTAAACAGAAGGCGAAAACGCACATTACGGATGCCCTGACGAAATTTCTAGGGTTTCAAAATGATGAAAATTCAATGAATACGTCTAATTCCACTGGACTCAGAAAAACAAATACGAGTACGTCTGGTTATGCGTCCAAGAATGGGCAGCCACCCTCGACAAGTGATTACAATATGCTCAAGAAACAGCTCGATTTGTCCGTAAGAATTTTCGACATATTAAATAAAAGTATCTTACTGATTGACGAAATTGACAACGTTTTGCATCCCCTCAAGAGTGAGCTACATTGGCCTTACGGCACAAACAGAGAAATTGATCTCGTCAATGTGGTGAGAAATTTTACTGATGTGTTCATGAACAATCCCTATTTGAAATTTCTGTACGATACTAAAAATGACGACGTGGATATTAGGAGCGTCAAAATTGCGGTAGCGAATCGGAGGGAAGTAAGCGCCAATTTGTTGAATCATATTAGACAGCTTCGGGAGGAGGAGCAAGCCCAGAGACAGGCGCAGATACAGTTACAGCGTCAATTGCAACTGGAAGGAGGTAACGATGAGGATGAGGAAATGAGGAGGGCAGGCCAACATATCAATTACGGAGGTACGGGAGGTAGAAACTCTTACCATCTAGACCCTCTCTGCAGTGACGCTAAAGTGAGACTCAAAAATGGAGCAATCAGCCATTTTAACAACTCGTTATCAACGCAGTTGTATAGAAAAGAAAATGCAGGTGATTACGGGGGGGTTCACCGTAACATGGGAGAAAGTGCCATATCGGGGGGTGCACTTGTCTCAGTAGTGAATGGAACAACCAAGTACGGATCTGTGAATATGCCAAACAGCGGAGAGACAAGCACAGCATATTCTTACGTCGATTTGAGTCTATTCAGATATAAGCTAAGTTGGGTCCTTATCGATTTTTTCTTCTACCCTGTGTGTAAGAAGCTAACCATCCCGATGGACATCCACTTCAATACGAACACAGAATATATAGACGACCTCCTAAACACGTTTAGCAAAGAAATCGAAAATGGGATAAGAAACCACGACATTTCATTGATCCCGCATTTCCACATAATAAATTTTAAGTGGTATGATAATATTATCTGGATCATTGCTCGCTATGTGTACTACTTTTTACTATGTTATAAGGTAAGTGGGGTGTCGCAAAAGGTGATTGAGTCCTACTTATGCATTCCTCTGTGCATCGGCTACAATGACATTAACGTGAAGAATAGGTGCAAAGATAACAACTTCAGTAGCTCCACCATAAGGAGATTATTAAATATAAAAAAAATTTCGAACAAGAATTATACAACCGATGCAAACAATCTGAGGAATGAAGATCTGCACGTCCTATCGAGTGATTACCATTTTAAAATCTTTGAACAGATAAATACGTTGGATTATATTTTGTGTAAAATTTTAAATCTTTGTCGACTTTACATCAATGGAATTTTGCCATTTGTTTTCTCTAAAGTGAATACGGTGCATTATGGAATTCTTTCGGCGGAGCAGATTAATAGGTGCAAAATGATCATGAGCAAGAGTAGGTACTTCCTGGCCGTTCCTTACATTGGCAAGGACACTCCCTCTGAGATGTCCGAGTTTACAAATGTCGATGTGGTGGTTTCTCTGAGCATTTTGTCGTATCGGTACCAAGGCATGAGATACTTTGACTTCATCCTGAGTATGAAAAATATGTTGTACAACTATTCTCTCGAAAAGGATTATGAGCGTGTGCAGAGCGACTCCTCCGAGGGGAGCGCCAGTGAAGAGCGAAGCGGTACCCGTGAGGGAAGCGGCAGTGATGAGGGAAGCGGCAGTGATGAGCGAGGCAGCAGTGATGAGGGAAGCGGCAGTGATGAGGGAAGCGGCAGTGATGAGGGAAGAGGCAGTGATGAGGGAAGCGGCAGTGATGAGGGAAGCGGCAGTGATGAGCGAGGCGGCAGTGATGAGGGAAGCGGCAGTGATGAGGGAAGCGGCAGTGATGAGGGAAGCGGCAGTGATGAGGGAAGCGGCAGTGATGAGGGAAGCGGCAGTGATGAGGGAAGCGGCAGTGATGAGGGAAGCGGCAGTGATGAGGGAAGCGGCAGTGATGAGGGAAGCGGCAGTGATGAGGGAAGCGGCAGTGATGAGGGAAGCGGCAGTGATGAGGGAAGCGGCAGTGATGAGGGAGGTAGCAGTCGTGAGCAAAGCAGCAGTGAGGAGAGAAGCGCCAGTGATGACGAACTTCTGGACAAGGCAGAGAGGTACGCACACACGAGTGGGGACCAAGCGGGTGGAGGAAGTTCTGCGAAAAGGAACAGCTTGATTGAAAAGAATAAGTCTTGCAGCGGGGCGACCCCCACCGAGGAAAAGAGTGGGAAAAAATCCAGAGAAAAGACGCAAAAGGCGCGCAAAGGAGAAGTGAAGACAAAGAAAGGTAAGGGAAAGAAGACAGATGAAAAGGTAAGAAGAATCGCAAAACAGACAGGTGAAAAGGTGAAAAGGAGAGAGAAACAAACGAAGAGGGAGTTAAAAAACATGTACGATTTGTACAGAGAAGTGATCGAAACAAGCGGAGCAAAAATAAGGAAAACGAAAAAGGATATTAACAACACAAACTTTTTCATATACGACAACAAAATAAAGAAGAGGAGAGAACAAAGTAGGAAAACCAAGCTAGGAAAAAATTACGTGGATAATATAGACAGGATTGATTTAAGCGATAAAGAAATTATGTACAATCTGTACAATTTAACCAGAAAGAACCCATTACTAATTAGTTATTTCCTGTTGGGAATTATTCTTAACAGATACATCAAGCATACAGAAAAGCAGCTTTCGTCAAATTCCCAAGATTTGACGAACAATGTTTTGTTTAAGTATGTTGTAGGGTATAGTGGAACGAGTAATGATATACTGCCTGAAGAAATTCACAAATGTAAATTTGAAAAAAGAACCATTGGTTCGATACTTAACATTATTAATGATCCTCAGATTGTGAACTTTATTTTCTTGCCATCTCAAATTGCCCCCCTTGATATTTTAAGGAGCCTGACATTTTCAAAAATAAAATTCAATAGCCTTATCGATACGGGTTACCTGATTAATAATATTTCGCCAAAGAAAGTCGCCTACTATATTTTACAATTCCTGGACTATATCGAGTGCTGTGTGTACATCGATAATGGGAAGCACATGTGTATGTTGCCCCTGGAGAGGAAAAGGCGAGGAAAGAGAGAGAGAAAAAAAAACAGAAATAAAGTTCTGGTGCAATCCCCGGAAAAGGGGAAACAGGACAAGGTACGTGGTGCGGGACACACAGGGAAGAGCACCCCAGATGCGAGGGAAACGCGCAAGAATGCCAAATCGGCAATGAAAAGAAGGAGAGAAAAAAATCCAAGTAATGACAAACAAAGTGGAAATAAAATAGAAAATAATCTGCACCTGAATGTTGAAATTATTCCGCTGCAAGATTGCTACGTTCCAATTAAGAAACGGTTCATCTACTTTGATCACATCAATACTTTTGGGCAGGACATAAAGCAGTACGTGAATGCGAACAGCTTGGTCACTGTCAATATCGGAAATGACATTTCTTCCTTCAGTCAAGGTGTCTTTCGCTTGCGATCGATCGGCATGAACCAGAAAATATTCTTCCTCATCCCCATGTGCCTCGTCAAACTGATGAACGTAAGCACGAGTCTGTTTAAGGACGCAGTTGCTGCGGACGTGGTGAGGGGTAAATCAGTAGGGGTACGGATAGGAGGAGGATCCCATCCCAACCATTGTAGCAAACAACGTGTGGATCTCGCCTCGCACGATGAGAAGCAAATGTTGAGGAGGTTCGCCAAACGGAAGAAGCGAGTCCTCCGCGAGTGCAACAAGAACTACAGCGAGGGCAGCCAGACGGAGTCCGAGAACGGCATGGAGGAGGAGACCATGCTCTTGAGTAGCAGCAGCGGGGAAAGCGCGGCAAGCGGAGAGATCGTTCGGGGCAGTGAACGTGGAAAGAAACCCCCATCTAGCGGTGGGATAAACATAAATGGTGGTGGGACAGCTCACCAGGATGACGACATTGAGGACATTCCCCTGGGGGAAGACGAAGAGAAGGATCACTCCCGACATGTGATGGACCCGCGGGAAGAATGCATGTTCGTGATCGACTGCTACAATAGTATCCACTTGGAAGAAAACTCAAAGGAACAGGTTCTAAAAGAGTTAACGTACTACCTCATTCTTAACAACATAAGTAACAACATAAAGCAATGTGAACTTCTGTGCGTGCATGGCATAGTTAACATTATAAAGAGGAAGAGCATCAGGATGCTGTTAGAAAACCACATAAACATCGGGGTTTTTAATTATAGAGATTATTTGGGTATTTTCAACACAAGTATCGATTTCGACGTACAGACACAGGTACCGTCCAAGAGCAGCTCATTACTTTGCATAGTCCAGCTGATTGAGAAGTTTCAAAATATTTTCACCAAAGAGGATGAATTATTTCTTCAGGACATTATTTATCGGTACTTTTGCCTACATTACGATATTTCTAATAAAACGATCGTAATGTATTTTGACGCCTTTTTTCCTCGAAAGGATTTTATGAGGACAAATTTGCCGCACGTAATTTTAGACCTATTTGAAAAGCTCAAGAAGATCAAAAAGGACCAGTGTGTTATGTCGTATAAGAAAAGCTTCACCAAGAGGAACACCAACAATGAGTACAACGCGGAGGATGATAACTCGATCGACAATCACTTGTTCAGTCTAGAAAATGAACAGGAGAAAGAGAAGGAAAAAGAGAAAGAAAAGGAGAAGGAAAAAGAAAAGGAGAAGGAGAAAGAAAAAGAAAAAGAAAAGGAAGAAGAAAAAATTACGGAAGATCAAAAAAAAAAAAACATAAAATGTAAGAAAGATGAATACAAATTGTATAGATGGACCATGGATGATATTAACTCAGATTTATTTGGAGCTAAGACAAAAAAAAGGCCAGATCAAATCAAAGGGGAAGAAGCAACTGGAACCATTTCTTACATAAATAATAAAGTTGTAGAGAAATTCACTCGCTTCACGGATGGTGGCCATCTGTTTATCCCCCTGAATAAAATACCAGTGAATGATATCCACATTAATTTCCCCTCCTATGTGTATGTCTCCAAAAATTTTATAAACTCAGACTCAATCAACACCAAGAAAGGGAAGAAGCTCATGAATGTCCTTGTCGTTATCGAGTGTGTGCACAATGCAGAGGGAGAAGTCACCCCCTTGGATCAACAGAGACACAACAACTATGACGAATATGCAGAAAGAGAAGCTTTGGAAAATATCTGGAACATTCTAAAGGAAGATAATATACAAGAGATCCTAAATATTTTAGACATCAATCCTTTTAAGTATTCCTATGACTTGGCGAAAGTTATGACGGACCATGTGAAGAAAAATGAATTTGATGGCAACAGGTTTGATAGCTTCCTTTCGCTACTAAACAGAATGGAACTTTACTTTAGCAATAAAAACAAAAAGTACATCATTGTAAGCTTGCAAGAAGCGGAAACATTGCGTTATTACATCCATAAGAGGTTCAGTAGGCAGAAAGTGGCGACGGCCCTGTCCGGTAGATCCTCCTATTTGGTGAAGACGGACAGTTTTTACCTTCCTTCCAAGGGGGGCCAAAACAGAAATGCTAATTTTGCCCTTCAAGGATCTACCGAGAAGAAAGAGCAAACCCACTCGATTGGTGACAACCTTTTTGACGCTCCCAATGAGGGAGGTACCAACAATGCGCAAGTAGCGCAGGGAGGCCCCGACTTAAATCACGAAATAGAGAACTTTATGGAGAAAGAAATGTTCCAAGATAATTTAATAAACGATGGATGGGGGCTGAACAACAACCTCTCCAGCATAGCATTCGAGGGAAAAGACGAAGCAGACGATATGGATCACTTTTTTATGGAGGACATTAACAAAAAGGAAGTAGAAATGAAGGCAGACGTGAGTCATACAAACAAATGGGAACCTACACAGGGGGGGACGGCTAAGGAGGAACAAAATGTAGAACTGCTATCCATCTATGAGAAGGAAAAAATGGAGATTGAAGGAGTAAAGGAGGAAAATTTCTTTTCAGATGTGTACATAAATCTGTACAACTACCACTTTTGGTTCACCCCCATCGAAATTACGGACCGAAATAATCTGAGGAAATATCTCTCCAGGCAAATACAAATTGTGTACAGCGTATGTAAATTTTTTAACTCGGATCGAAAATTTATTGACGCACATGTGAATTTGTTGCTGCAGTATTTGAATTTTAATGCACCCAAGCACCGATTTAGCTATTTCAATGATTTGTATCTGCTGAGGAGAATAATGAAGGACAATCTGACCAAGAATAATCTCAAAATGCCTGAGAAGAAGAGTCTCCTCATCAAGAAAAATATGGAATTAGAAATGGTGGAAAAAAAGCTGTTTGAAGCGAATGGAGACATTTATGCTTTTAAAATTATGCAACAAACTGTGAGACAAGGATTAAAAAAAAAACAATTAACACTTCAAGAAATTTTTGACAAAGATGATTTAGACTACATCTGCAGCAAACAGGACATTCGAATCCTTTTCGACTTCTTAAATATTCGGGATAGAAACTGTGTCAATGTTTTATTTGACATTTTGGGCTCCACGATTTCTTTGCACGAGCTGTGCTTTACTCTGAACCCTGTGGAAAATATCAAAAAAACGGAGTTCCAGAAGGACCTGTACACTGAGGACAAGAAGAGATATACCGAGGAGTTTATCAGTGAAGCTGAAAAGTACCTTAAGAATTTTAGGTTTTCCCTCACGGAGCACACGTATTTTAAGGTGATATGGTCCGGCAGGATTTCCAGCCAACGAATTGTTCAGGAAGCGGTGGACAGTCGAGAGGCAGCCACACTTGGCGGAGAGAAAAGGGCTCCGTTCGGCCAAGAGGCTAGCGATTACGTTATCGGCGCTTCGTTAAGTGTGGCATCGTTAGGTGGTGCATCGTTAGGCGGTGCATCGTTAGGCGGCGCAAGCAGGAACGCCCCCCCGAGTGAGCGAGACCCCTGCCACAAGTCGGCAACGAACGATTTGCTAAGCGACATCTTTGGATTCAACAGGGCGCAGGGAAGCGAGCAGGATCCCATGTATACCGAGCAGATTAATCACCCAGTCAGAAGCTCGGAGCAATTTTACATCTATGAAGCCGAAAATATAGACCCTAAAGACAGAGGAATGATGAGTAAAAATAAACATAAAATTATTTTTGGCCATTATGCATCGACCAAGCCAGCAGATAACAATTTCCCCGTATTGGAGATGACAGACATATCGATTAACAGCATGTACACAAGTGCATCTGCCCAAGAAATTCTTAACCTTCTATTCCCTTATCCTAAAAAGTATTTGTTACTGTGGCATGAAGATTATTCCATAAAGAGCGTCGATGAGTGTCTTCACATATGGAAGCCCGTCTTGTCGTCTGCCCACATGTCCGGTACCACCTTCCTGGGCTTCCTGGCTTCCGTTGGCCCGCACCAGCCCCCCTTGAACAAGATCCGGGCTCTACCTAAGTCGTTGGTCAAGGTGGTGCAGAATAAGAAGTTCGCCACCTTTTACTCGGACAATAGCTTCTCCATCGACAACTCGGGCCTGTTCAACTCGCTGAATGTTCACTTTTTCAGTAAGCGCCACATCCCCGGCCATAGCGGTCATAGTAGCAGCGATGGCAAGTGCAGGGGGTGCCCCCTTCCCCCATTTGCCCCTCTTCACATCTGCCGCTCCCCCCATTTACCGCTCACCTCATTTTCCCCCTTTTAGACGGCCTGGACCTTAAAAACTACGAAGAATTCCTCTTCAAGAATTTCTCCCTTAACATTGTCGCCAAGGTTAAAAAGATCAAGTCTGTGAATGAAGACATCTTCAATTTATGGGGCGAAGAAAAGCCGCAGGAGCAGGAGAATGATGACGAGACCTCCCCAGAGTGGGAAATAATTCCCCAGAGTTTTTAGTCCTGTTAAACGTTGCATCCGCGTAAAATGGGCTATGTGTTTTTGCACCTTTGTGAATTAAACAATTTTGTTTCCGTCTTATTGAGTGTATCTCCCCTTTCTTTATCAGCCGTAGGAGGAAAATTGCTCCCCAGCTATCCACATCACGGGGAACAAGTTTGCGGCATATTCTGCACGCGTGTACATGTGCGCACATTTTATTTTGCACATTGATGCTGCATTTTTGAAGAAACCGTCCTGTCTTAAGATTATCAACAGGGAAAAAAAGACAAAATAAATGATAAAATAGGATTTATATACAGAGAGCAAATTTTCCCCCCGTATTTGCTTTCCCATTTTTTTAACCCATGCTGAAGGTGGGTACAGGGAAGCAGACCTGTTGCCCATAACTGCCGGCAATGAGTTCCCTCAAAAGGAAGAAATTTACGCGTGGGAGTAATATATCTCTACAGCGGGAACAAACCATATTTCGCACGCCTGCTTAAGATCAATTTGACATAGCTTCGTTCCTCTTTGGGGTTATTCCCCCCGGGGAAAATACGAACATTGTAAGCATATAAATGTATATACTGTCTGAAAATATACGTGTGCGAGTTATCGTCTTCCCCTGTTGGGGGTGGGAAGGGCACTGGCTTAGAAATGTTTTACACCGTTTTTAAAATTAGGCGTGCAATTTTTCTTGCACTTAAATTCAGTTTTAATTGGAAGTCTATTAAAAGGTTTAACAGCATGGTATGGGTGGTATGGGGAGGCATTCATTTGTCATTAGATGGTCGTTAAAAATGAAAAAAGGGGTTACAAAGATGGTGTCACATAAGCATACATATATAGGTGGGGCAGGTACGGGCGTGCACGCACTGGCTAGTTGTATAGCTATGTAATGTATTTAATAAGTGTGCTCGTGCATGGGATGTCTGTGTAAAAGCTTTTCATGGTCTCTTCGTCTGCGAAATAACCCCATTTTACACTAAATAAAAACACACAGAGAAATGCAGTTGGTTAATTCCTCTTTTTCTTGTCCATTTTACGCTTGTAAAATAGCAACTCATCGCCCTCAATGATGTAACCATCAGCTTTTCCGCACTGTCCAGGCCTGCTGCTGATGCAAGCTAACACTCTTCCCTGTTTGAACTGTTCCAATAAAGCTGGGTCGATCTGCTTGGATTTTCCTATCTTTTTAATTACAAGGTATGACGACTTTGCTTTTTCATCTTTCTCTTCATTATTTTCTTCATCTTGAGCTTTGTTATCTTCTTTGTTCTCCTCTTTGTTCTCTTCATCAGTTTTTCCTTTTTTCTTCTTTCCTAAGGTTACACCAAATGTGTTTTCGTACCTATTATGGGTTAAAAAAAAAAGAAAAGACGCATAAAAATGTAATATACGAGTGTGCAATTTGTTCTCTTCCTGTTTTTTGAGCGGGAATAAAAAAAGAAGAAAAAAAAAGGGGAATTTTTCTTAATGTTTGTAAAAAAAGGTGGCAGAGATATGATTTACAAGTTCCCATTTTTCGAGTGAGTCTTTTTTTTTAAAGTTTTTTGATCTTTATTCAGTCGGTAATTCCAGGTATATTACGAATATATTATTTCCTCAAATTTGTTTTCGAAAATTTAAGTGGTATATATTCTTATCAGCAAAGTAAGAAAAAAAAGAAAAGCCGCGCGCCCTTTGCCGGAAGGTCCCCCCCTCCTTTTGCTTCTTTAACGTGTTCGTTAGAGGGTTGCAATATCTTTTTTGTTCCATTTCGTCGACTCTGCTTGGGATTTTTTTTTTTTATCCTTTCATTGGCGTGGCGTTCGCAACTTACCATGTAGTAAACGGATGGGAATCAATCAAAACGATGCAGTTTTTGACCAATGTCTTTGTTCTGACCAGCTCATTGTTGGATGCATTATAAACAACGTCAATAATTCTCGTGATTTTTGAAACTCCAAATGCTGGCCAGGAGAAGCTGCCTGAATCGAGTTTGATTGCACGATACTTGTAATTTCTTCCTCTTCCCCTAACAACATGAACTTGTCTACTTCCCAACTTGGTGTTCGATGGTGGCCTTCCTAATTCATACTTTCTCTTCTTCTTGTGGATTTTTTTTTTTCCACCGGTAAGGCGGAGTTTGTGTCGGCCGTCTCTGCTGATACCCATCTGTGGCGGAACGCCAAAACAGAGAAAAAAAAGAAAAACAAATTATGTGTACATTTTCACCTAAGCAAATGATACGAAGAACGCATTTTTCTAAAAAATATGGAAACGTAAATGTATAGAGTTTGATTCCAAATAAGCAAAAACGGGGAATACATTTTTCCCTTTTACGAGAAAAGCATGTGCATGTGTAACTTTGTTCTGCCTTACACTTCACGTATGGCTAATATGTAACGCATGAAGGTGCATTCAGGCAGATATGTTCACGTCTATAAGTGGTGATAACTCTTTTTATTTATGGTGTATTTCTCTCCAAATAATGCAAATGGTTAACGCGGGTAATAAACACAGCATGGGGATATGTTCACTAGGGGCAGCAATCAAATGAAAAGAAATAAATGTAAAGGCATCCGGCGAGTGCTACGCAGTAATATGAAATTCACAAGAATGTACGACATTTTCGCGCGACGCAAGCACAACAGATTTAAATGTGACATCCCTTCCTGCGCACGTATGTACGACGCTGAACAACACCACACGTGCAGGTTCGCGGGACCGATGTGATGATGTGCTCTCTTTTGTTATCACTACAGCATCGCGCTCAGTAATACAAGCGTGTACAGCTATGCGATTGGGAGGTTTTGCCATTTTTCCATTTTGCAACCGTGCGACTGTGGGTACGTATGCACACGCCGCGATCCCTACTTTCATTTGCATATTCCATTCTCATCCGCTCGACTTACGTTTTAAGTGACTAAACAGTGTACTGTTATTTTTCCGTTATATGGATGAAGGAGCCTCTTAAAAAATTCCTTAAGGTTAGTTTGCAAAAGGAAAGGAATTCATATTTTCATAAATATCAGAAGGGTTACAAATCTTCGCAAAAATGTTTATAAATTTTTTTTTTTCCTTAAATGAAAAAAAATAAATGCCACATGCGTATATAAATTGGATAACCTTTTTTTTTTTGAACGGTCGTGGTATATTGGGTTAGGGTTTACACAAGTGTATGTGGCAAGCACGTATGAGCGAAAAGAGTGAACGTGAACGTAGCCTTTCTTAGAAAAAAAAGAGGTATATATAAAAAAGCGCGCATGTATTATATTTTATTTATACTTTTCGGCTGCCCATTTGGAAAAGCGTATAGATATATAAACAGAAAAATATATGCCGCGCGAAAAATAAATGTCATTAAAATAAGGGTTGTTAATTCCCTTAAAGGGGTAGAAGCTTAGCGGTGCTGTGCTGCTACAAATGGCAACTTCGCACAGTTATATAGTGCACCACTTTATTTTTCTTCTTTCCCGTCAACTCATATGATATATTTTTGTATTCACCTCACCCACATATGGTATTATGACATGATGGGATGATCTATGACAGAGTTACACCTTTCCTTCTTGTCGCAAGGCGACTCGCTTCGGATTCGGTTTTGCCAAGTATCCCTCTGTGGGAAGCGGCGGCGTCAGCGGTAACTGCAGGGGGTTATATATGCCACAGGCAGATACCAAAAAAAAAAAAGCCGCACGGTGGAGTATGCGCTTTATATACGCAAAGTGACCCCATTTGCGCCTTTTTATAATATGTCATAAAGAGAAAAAATAAAAAATAAAGTACCATGAGTAGGTCGTGCGTATGTTTGTAACCTTTGTGATGAGCCAATGCATATATATTTATACCGTTTGGCGATATTTGCATGTTCAGATTTTATCGTTTCGACTTTTTCCCAAGGGATGGAAAATACTAATATAAAGAACCGATGCGGACGGTGCCGAGGCTTCTCCATATGCATTTTTTCTTTTTTTTCTCGTCATGCATATTTTACAAAAACGCTCGCAAAGGACGCTCTTTTGGTTAATTTTCCACGTCGAACCTTTTTTTTTTTTTTTGCTTTTCCGCCAAGATCGTTCGTGCAGTTTAATCGGTGAAAAAGATAGCTGTTGGCAGGTATATTTGTTTATGTATACGTGATGAAGCGTCATGCGGGGTGATGTGATAATCCACGTGGAAAAAATATGAACCTACGTTAAAAAAAATAATTTGTATAAAAGGATTAAATGTTCAACCGTGGCCTGCTTTAGATTCATATGGTAATTGCAGAATTAAAATGAGGCTTGTGAAACAACCCTTTGTTATTTTTTCTTTTCGCAATTTGAATTTACATTTACTGTTCCTTTGATGTGCTGTAATGTGTTATCCCTAAGTGTACCCCTGTGTGTGGGGTGAGATGGATGTATGCACATAACTCCCGCAGATGGAACTCCAATCCGATTGCATGTAAATAATTTGTTCTTTTACGTTGCCCACGAGAGAGGGGGTGAGGAACCAATACGCTCTTTCACAAATCGGCAAATTTTTTAATATCAAATAAGTAAGGAATTTCCCAAAAAAAAATAGTTAAAAATGTTTTAATTTTTTTTTTGGGGTAAGGTGACGAATAAATTCAAATTGGGAAGAATATCACCACCTTCCTTTATCGTTAAAAGAGGGGTGTATACGAACCTCTGCGCACAGGGTTGGTTACATATGGACGCTACATGAACGCATTACGCAGACAGTATGTTAGGGCTCTTTACGCGGTGCGCTAGCCATTTATCTACACGAAAACAGGACTTTGGGTGAAAATCAAAGGAAAATGGCAACCGGGGGTAATGCGGCACAACCCTAATGATGCGTCAATCGAATGGTGAAACAAACCGAATTGTTGCAGTTTCGATGTTTTCACTTCTTTTTCTTCAAAATTTTCTGTATAACGTTTGAAGACAACTTGTATATTTTGTTCTTCGCCTTTTTGTCGCACTTCCTCATTTTGGAAATGTCCTTAATAATAGTCATATTTCCGACCTTCAATTCCCCCTCCAACT